CTTACATCCTCATAGCTGTCATGCTCCAGTGCGGACAGGTTCCTCCCATTGACAGTAAATATTGGGTTCCTCCCCCTACTGTCGTCTTTCTTCGATGTCGCCCAACCGGAAGTTCTAGTCGGTGGCCTTTCTCCAGGGTGACTGATGGCATCTCCGTGGGCAGACTCATCCACACTTAATTATCCACAATCCTCCTGGGGAGCACATGTCAAGAGAGTGAGCCATGCACCGTGTGTCATGGCCCTGGCTGCTCCTTCTGCCTGTCCCTTCAGCCTGCGATGCAATGACAAGGTAGTCCGTGTCCAATGTGACAATTTTACCTGTGCTTTTCTCACCATGTTCAACAAAATCTACTCCTGGAATGTCTTGTTTTTATTTTTCAGTCAATAAAGGCGTGGTTAGGTTCATGATCATGTTTTGCTTGATACAGTTTGGTTTGTTCGTTGAAGAGGTTTGCAATTATTTTTCCAATACATTTATTCCAACCCTGTACATGTTTTTTTTTACTGTCCAGCCTGTAGCCAATTGTATTAATTCAACCTGATAATACATGTTGCGCAAAATACATTTGGATTCAAAGAAGAGAAATATACATAATGGTGCCAAATGATTACTGAGTTAAACATGAGGGAAGATGGCGTCATCATTGTGTTGCCCTTTCTTCTCTGATTGGTTACCACACCCATGTGAAAATGTTGGCTTGAGTTTCCATGATGTTTTGAAGATCAATAAGATTTCAGTGCACACAGCCGTATCTGGAGGTTTGTTATCTGCTTTGGTCCGTCCAGAATGTTCAACAGTACAGACCTGTAGAAGCACTTAGAACCACTTAGAAAGCATGTTTTGAGCATTACAAACAGAATCTAGGTGATTTGAAACCATGCCATCATCTTGCCACAGTAATCCCATTCCCAATCCCATGCTATCCACTCGGCACGGGGGCTGAGTGGATAGCACTCTCGCCTCTCAGCAAGAAGGTCCTGGGTTCGAATCCCGGTTGGACCAGGGCCTTTCTGAGTGGAGTTGGCATGTTCTCCCCGTGTCTGCGTAGGTTTCCTCTGGGTGCTCTGGTTTCCCCTACCACAAAAAATATGTACAATAGGTCCTTTACTGGCACCCCCACTCCCAAAACAAAAAAAAATTCACAATTGTTAACCGCTTTGAGACTCCGATGTGCAGTGAAAAGGCGGTATATAAATAAATAAAGATTACTTACTATTTTCATGTTGCACTATATGCAAGCACATTTTTATAAAAGAACAGAAACAGAATTTCTCTGCGTGAATGGTTGGTCTTGGATCTCACACAATGATTGATGGAACTTGTCGTAAACTCTCTCAGAGGGATGTCTTAATATTGTAAATAAACTTGTTTCCTTGTTTCTGCATTATGCATATTTTGTTTCATAATAATTTGTGCCACTTATTATTTAGAATTGGGTGTTTGAAAATGGAAATATGTTCATCCATCAAATCCTGTTGAGACGACTGCATTTCCCCCCAATAAACACGACTTCAAACCCCAAACTTTCCCTGCATCCTCTTTAGGCAGATCACTGCAGCCCGATTGGTCACAGTTGAGCTCCAGTGCTTGTGGGTAACACAGTGCGTCATGCCAAATACTCAACGATTCTACTGAGAAAACTGCAAATCCACCCTGAGCAGCGTGCCCTTGAAGGAACACATAACACACAAACAATGCAGGCCAATCAAATGAATTTATAAATTTATTTTCATATAAAAAGACACTATGAAAACATTAGAGGACTACTTTGTACAATCGCATGTATAAAAAGAAAAAGAAAAAGAAAAGAAAAGAACAATGAAGAAACAGGAGGTAAAAATCAAAAGAACAGTTTAAGTTTGTCAACATCCAAGTCGGAGGTGGTTGTGAGGAGAGTGCAGACATGGAATCCAACAAGACATTTTGACCAAGCAGTTGTAATGAATCTATTTTTTGTAATTTTGTAATGCATTTTCTGTAATATTTCAAGAGATGACAACCGGAATAGCCCCCATCAACAGTGAACAAACACGTTAGAAAATTCTCCATTTAAAAGAAAACGTGTCAAATTGAAAATAATGAGATAAACCGGACGACATGACAGCTAAAAACTGTCAATAAACAAACAAAATCTCTGAGTACTATTAATAGGACAAAGTAGATTTTTTGATCATAAAATGCGTTATTATCCACCTATTCTAAGACCGCTGTATTAAAACAATGATACTTGAAAGCAAAAAAAAAAAGTCATTATTTACTTCTCCCGTGTGTAAGCAATTTATAATCCTGTAAATGCTTGACAACCCTAAGCATAATTATGCACGTTCAAGAGGAATATTCATCACAGCATAATGGAAATGATCATTTGTTTGCCTATTTCGTTAATGTCTTTTTTGTTAATTACAAAGGAAAATGCTTAGAAAAAAATGGTGTCGGATTAGCTTGCTTCTTGTTTTTGATGTGTTAAGAATGACTTCATTAGCCCCCTCACACCCTCTTTTGTACAAGGTCGGACTAAAGTGACCCCCGGATAAGCCGAGCAAACCTGGTCTGGTCCGCGGAGACGGTATGAGATGTAGATTTGCGCATCAGCTGATTAGCCAGAAAGGTTACCACGGATGAACTCTTTTCTCACCATCTGCGCTACGGACACATTAGAGATCTTTAAACAGATGGTTCGAGGGCTGCGTCGGAAAATGTCAGGACAAATCATCATCCCCCGGTAATTAATGATTTTTTTTTAGACTCTCTTCCGATTTCCATACAACATTATTTTGCTGTTTTTCAGTGTTTCATCTGCACTATGGACTCGAGCTAACCAGGGTCAGCCTTTGTCGGAGCTGCATCATCACACAAATCTGTACTTTAAAGCTGGGGTACCTACCTTTCAAAACATACAAAATATCCATGTAATATTCATCTGACTATAATTCCTCGCACTTTAACATTTTGCTTTTTTAAATAACTGTTTTCACATGCCTCCATCACATCTTTTTAGACGGAAAAGTGACGGAGAGAGGACCACTCAGCCATCAACAAGTGTCAAAAACAGACTCACAGGGGTTAGTTTAGGTTGAGTAGGATGTCGTGGTCTGATGTTTTCATGTTATTTTACTGAACACTGTTATTTAAAATTGTGACAAAGCATGTTTTATGGAGGGGAAGAAGAGTTAGGTAACCCAGCTTTAAGATGCAGCGTGTGTTTGCAGAAGAATACATTATCATATACTGTATAAGTTTCTCCACACACACATATTCTGTACCAGGCACTTTTATTATTGTGAGACAGGGATGGCTGAGGGCAAATGATGACCAATAAAAACCAATTCATAAACAAGTTAAAATCATTCTTTTTTGTAAACGCATACAGTACATCGCCCAAATACTGCAGTCTATTTGCATTATTCTGTATTTTGCCTGAACTGCATATTTGATACACTTGATCCAGAGTAATTCCATTGATCAATATGAATATGAAGTTATGGGAAGCTGCCAAAGACAGAAAAAGTCTTCAAACTTGGTATTGATTCAATCTTGTACTGCATCACATTTGCCTCAGTCACGACGTGCAGCCTGGAGCTGTAATGTAACAAGTGTGGGGGATATGCTCATGATGGGGCTGCTTTTACCACTCTGGAATGTCAAACAGGACAGATACAAATCAATCTATTTGTCCTCTCCAAGATGCTTCTGTATATATATGAGAAATTAATAGAGCTACCAAAAAGAACTTACAATTGCTACGTAATGGTGATATTAGGTACCCAGACAAAAATCAGTACACTGTGCCATAACCAGTAACATTATGACAACACGACGTTGTGGCAGAACAAGAGCAAGTGAGACGTAAACAGGCACCACTATAGAATAAGCTACACAGAAATAAACTTAAGGAGTTACTATAGCTTAAGAATGTGCAAAAGCCTGAGGTAAATAACCAATTAAAGGTCCAGTTTGATTCCATATTAAAATCAGCTTTTTTTTTTAAGTTTAGCTAAGGGACATGATATTTCAGGTGGCGTGAATCTGAAGGAGGTTTTTTGCTGATGACTCAATTAGACGTGTTGCATTGATCCCAATCCTTCATTCCCCTCACCAGGATTGCAACCGTGTTGCATGCAGCTTACATTAACTCAAAAGCAAGCTCATTTTGATGTGCGGTAGGCATCCTCCTGAAGTTCCACATGAACTTCCCCTTAAGCAAAAATGAAATATATAATAAAAATGAAAGGCAGCACAAGCACAACTGAATATAATTCATCATTCTTCTTGAACAGTTAGACCAAACAACGCAATTCATTTGTAGAAGTCATATTATTTTTTCATTAAAAGTTTTAGAGCATAGAAAGGGCATTTTCAACGAAATCACATAAAGTACACAGAAGGGGAACACAGTGTTGACACAAAGATGACAGGGTTGGATGGTTGGATAGGAGAGTGGAGCTGGAGCCTGTAAAAAGCAAAGCAGATGGCATGTCCTCATCCACATCCTTTCAAACGGAACAAGAACAAGCTGAAAACGTAAGGATTTTGTCATCTGTCCGGGAATGAAAAACTCAAGGGGGCCTATGAAACTAAAGCAGTGAGACATCTCAATGAGATCTTTCTCATCGTTATAAAAAGAACGGTGCAGAAATAGCATTCTTTTTTTCCAAATAATAATACAATTGAAACATATTTGTATTTTTTTTAGTACTTCAGAATAAAATCAAGACAGTTTTCTTCAGAAATAAATTGTTTTTTGTATACCTTTTAGTTCATTTAAAAATGTTTCTCACTCACAGACATACCAAGGATCTGTTCTTTCTTTTCAATAGTCTTTGTGAAAAATATAGAAGAACAGTTTTCTGGTGTCTGTCCACTGCAGCAGTAAACCAACACAATATGGAATCCGACAACACAGCGCTGTGGAGTGTGCACATATGGGCTTATGTAGAGGTCTGCTGACTGTGCGGCTGGAGGTCATGTGTCCGCCCCTGACACGTGGCCAGAGAGAGTCAAACTTCAGTCTGGAAATCGCCCTCAGAAGACTCTGGTGTGTTAGGCGACGTCGAGTCCCAGTTCTTATTGTGCAGCTCCAAACGGTCCTTCTGCTCCCCAGGCACAATGGTCAACTCAGGGGTCATGGTCTTGAAACTGTCCCATGAGTCTTGCTCCTCTGGGGTTGACTTGTCCTGGGGGAGAACACAACAAAGACACAATCAGAAAACATTTTACTAATACTAGAAAACTAAAGCAACAACAACAAAACGGTCGGACTGGAGCAAAGTAGAAGAAGAGATTGTCCTTATTTATAATGATGTGTGTTTTGTGGTGTAGCCCAACATAATAATATCTATATGGAGCTACCTCACCTGGAGAAACATGATTTACACAGTGCTTTAACGATATTTTTTAGGAAATAGACACAAGTTTTTCCGAGCTGTCTCTTGCGGACGTGAGACGTGAGAGATATCGGTAATGACTGGACTCAGCTCGTCTCCTCCTCTTGTGACCAAATAGTGAACTCCTGAATCACCTTTAATCCTTACAGCTATCCACCACACCAGCTGCAGACAAAAGTCCTTCTAATTGAAATGTCAATCTCCCAAACTATGAGTAACTAAAAGGAAAGTGTTTAGCAACGAATTACCATGTTTCAAATGATATGAAAATACTACATCATGGGTGTTTCATTTCCCTAAACTCAGATCGTTGCATGATGCCTGGAGATGGACCCACTAATCTTGTAAATACAGACTCACTAAAATGCCGTTTACCAAATCACACAATTTCCTCACAGATAATGAAATACAGGGGGAGCTGACAGGTGGACTCCCTCCACTCAGAGATTGAGAATAAAACATATTCGGAAATGCAACGGGGATACTATATCTTGTGTATCTATTTTAATGAATACAGCTTGTATAGAAGGACAGTGTAGAATCAAGACTAAAATCTCTCATTCGTTCATAAATCATCAAATTTATGCACAATTGATGTGCAAACCAAGAGTCAAGAATTGTCTGTATATAACGAGACTGACAAAAAAAAAAAACGGAATAAGGAATATGTTGATAGTTTTGCCAAATTAGTGAACAGTGACCAGTAAAAGTAAACCAGAATATGGCACCATTCTACATTGATAGTGCCATTTGAACCAGCTCAGAACCAGGGAAGGCAGCATTTCAGATATCTATCTTTCTCTCTCTGTGAGAAAATGTGAGACAGGCTTCTACTCTGACAAGTTTCTAATCCAGGTTAAACAATTCTGCTTGGACTGTACAATAAATAAATCACTTTAAATTACTAAAGCACTAGGGCTTAAAACCTGCACTAATATTGCCACTGTTTCTGCCACTTTTTATTGTACATAATATATCCTGAACAGACTATATTTTTTGCCTCTAACATGTTTGCACACATCTGTCTTTTACACAAATCTGAGTGATTCTATCCATACCAAATGTGACATGCAAATTTCTCCTGTGTGGGATCTATAAAGTCTATCTTATCTTATCTTAGCTGTGCATTCACGTGCACTGTACAAGTACAGTGATTATTTGTGTTAATGCCTTGTGTATTAACTGTGATATACAAACACACAACCCCTGCCTTGCCTGCCAAATAAACTCTATCTTTTTTGTTACAATTTACTCCTCAAGCTTTATATAGCTTCTTAGGGTGTTATTTTCACAGTGTCACAAAGACCTCAATGCATCTGAGAAATGTGATGTTGTGAAGAACATATTGAAATGGGTAGTAACAATATTTACTTGCGTGCAACTTTATTGTTGCTAGGTGATTCTCTGGTTCAAAATACCTCTGAAAATATGACATAATAATCCAGTGCCTCTCACATATGATGCATCACTAATAGACCTTTCTCCCACTCCTGCTCTTAAGAACTATATCGGCCTAATTCTCTTTACTCGCAGCCGTTTGACACGAACAATCTAACTGATCAAAAGCTGCATTGAGTTGCCTCTTCCCCCCTCGACACTCCGCATTGTGTCGATTGTCTCCTGTGGGGCAATATCGTGCCTGATTATCATTCTGCCCGCGTCACCGTCTGACAGTTGGGCAAAATGAATACAAAAGGCATAAGCTGGGAGCCAATTTGCATGCTAAACGCTGGCGAAGGAACGTTGCATCGAGGAGGAGGTAATGCCGCCATAAAACCCCAACTTTATCCCAGTGAGACTCGGGCTAACGCGATTGTGCTGCTATACCGTGTGTCTATCCGTTTGCTTTTTTTTCGCCATCTCCAGACTAGACAAGCGTTGTGCCATGCCCCGGAGCAGCCCAAGTCGCATCTTGCTCTCTTTTTCCTCTCCTCTCTTCTCCTCTCCTCTTCTTCAATCCTCTCTCTCTTCCTCTACTTACACTGGATGAGTTCTTTTCACCGCCGGCAGAAGAAATGCTCCAGCGCTTCTCCCTCTGTGCGATGAAATGGGAGGGAGAGGAGGAGGACATGGAGCAGTGGTGACAATTGAGACAGACGGAGAGACAGAGAGGAACAGGTAAAGGAAAGGGGAGAAACTAGGGGATCATAAGAGCTGACAACTCTGTCTTGAGAATGAAGGCATCTCTTTGTCCTAGAGCGAGTGGTGCGCTGCTCTGGGCTAATGTGTGCACTGTAAAAGACCAAAACTAAAACGTGGAACTTGTACTGTACGTCAAATAAATCCCATCATCATTTAATTCCTTCCATTGATTTTGTTTGGTTTTTCATTCATTTAATTTTTTTGACAGAACTTGAATTAATCATTTAATAAACAACCCTCCTTTCAGGCTACTTCACAATTTTCATAGCTATTGCTTGGCTCATAACCAACCTTTCTCTCATAAATAATACATCTGGTTTGGAACAGAAAATGGCTTGAAAAGTATTTTTTATTTTGACAAATCAGACCACATGTGGACTTCATCTTCTAAGAAACCATTTTTGTAAGAGCATGTGAGTCACAATTTGACACTTTGTGCTGAGAGCTGATTGGCTGAGTGGTACTGAAAAAGCTGGGATTTCCTGCACATTTATCACATATTTTGATAATCCAATAACCTTTTAAATGTTTTTATTTGTTTTGGAAATTATAATTACGATTTCATGACATATCTTTGGTTCTCTGTAAATCATTTGGAAGAGTTAATTAGATATATTTTTGTAACGCATTACAGGACTTTACAGTGAACAATTGCCTGATCTCTGTAGTTGCATGGACAATGTGGGCTTTTTCCCCACAAACACACATGCACACGCACTCACTCACACACACACACAAAAGACAATGATGATACAGTCGGACTCTGAGATGGGAGCAGAGCAGAGGAGGAAAATGACTAAGAAACTGCACAAAGGCAAAAGAAGAGGAGTGGAGATGGAGGTGTAATCCAGGCCTTGAACAATAACCTACATATGAAAGAGTTTTTCTCCTAAAAATCACGCCGAAATGGAACTAATCTGATTTGACAATAGCATACAATCTGTTCTACCCACATCATGTCTGTCTAATATTAGAACAAACTTCCACTGCCTGTGGCCATATACTCAGATGAGTCATCGCAAAGAAATATTTTTTGTTGACATTATTTATTTGGTTAAGGGGGTTGGTAAAAGATTTGTTTCTACTTATGGGCTTGTTTTTTATTCAGTACCCTATATTTAACCTCTATTGTCGCTGAATTAAAGCCCCAGTGGGAAAAGGCCTTAGGTATATGATGTTACCATACACTCAAGCGAAACAAAACCAAATGCTCATAGTGCATTCTAACTTATTTGTTCTCAGGATTGACTATTGTTGGGTTGCTTGCAGTTGCCAAGGGAATGAGTATTTAGATGGTTCTGAGAGTAGTACGGGGAAGACTACATGCTGCTAAAACGCCGCCAAATACATGAATAATAGCACTTATTTTTAAGCAAAAAAAACTATTTGTTGTAATGAAAAGCTTTGTGAAAGGGATTTTTTGTCCCTCTTTCTCCCTCCCATTATTCCTCCATGACACAGGTAAGGTTGCTGCCTTATGAGATGTTAATGAGGCTGAAATAAACCAATTCAATAAATTCTATTCATGAAGGGTCCTCCAGATGTGACTGAAATTTCTGCTCTGTGTTGTTTTTATTAAAGACACATACCCACTATGATGGACGATTAGGTTAAGCTATAGTTGACTCCGCTGCATTGGCCACTACACACTGCACTCACTCTATTTTAAAGGCTGAATATATAACTTTACTTAGGGTCTGTTTCCTGACATAAAAACTATGGTCGCACATCTCTCCCGTAAATCTCAAGCACCTTCAAAAGCAATTGTACACAGAAGTTTTGTTCCCAAATCTGCATATGCACATTTATGTGATGGTATAATTTCTTATGTCCTCAAAGACATTGAATTTCAACATTCTGTCTGTGCTAATTACAGCTGCACATTCTTGCTGTAAGTGATTTTGAAAAAAGTGACCTACTGTCAAACTGAGCATTATTTCTATGGAGTCAAGAAAATGCACTCAAAGAGTTACACTGTGCATCTTTAAAAATACATTCTAGTGGTGTTTACATTAAACTAACCTGTTCAAATAAACACTGCATACAGTTTGTCCCCTGAAAAGCACATCCCTCAACTGCTCTGCAGGTGGCCTCCTTTTTGCTTGAGTTAATCTAAATGCTGTTATTTTTCCTGGATGTCTCTGAACTTCATCCTTAAACCTTATTTTTACATGGGAGATAAGCAGGGGTCTTCACTCGGCAAGTTTCAAGTTATATCTGTGGAGAGGACAGACTTCTTCACATCTATAATTAAGAACTGTTGAGTGGTTCACAGCTATGAGTTTGGATTCCACCTTCAGTTGAGTCCTTCCTGAGTGGAGTTTGCATGTTCTCCCATTTCCAAATAGGTTTTTCCCTAGGGGCTCTAATAAAGTGTCCATTAGGTCTCTCACAATCTGTGATTCTGAGTCTGTGAATAAATATTACTTACTTAAATTTTAAGCACAGCAATAACATTTCACAAGAAGTAGATGGACCACTTCACAAAAAGCAGGTCACACCCAGAATCGTTTAAACCTTGAACTAGAGAAATCCATCCAGTATTTGCTTCATTTAGTTCAACTTGCAAGAACGGTAAATTGAAATGCATTCCAAAAATAATTTCTATTTCAATCCAAGAGGAAATAGAGCAGTGTCTAAAAAAAGTAAGCGTCAAAGTTCCATGGGAGGGCTTAGGTTTCCAAGAGACGGAATACCCAGCTACACAAACATCCTTGCCATGTTGAGCCGAAAAAACCGTATTCCGCTGCCACTCTCAGCCTCCGACATTTTAGAAGCAGGGCGAAAACCAAATTAAGTTTATATATGTGTACGTGTGTGTGTGTGTGTGTGTGTGTGTGTGTGGGCGAGCAGACGTGACAGGCTATCTTTGGGTAGATGATGGGGGAGGACAGGTGCATGCTGGGAAAGCGTGGTTCAGTTTACCTTCGTTGAAATGGACGCCCCGGGTTCTGCCGACTGTCTTGCTACTTTCAAACTGGGACATGACAGGGAGCATGCAACATGAGGCCCAGTCAGTGAAAAGAAAAAAATAAAGAGAAAAACAAACCAAAATAGTCAATGGATTAGCAGGTAAATAACATGACATGAACTTAGAGAAGGGTCAAAAAACACACAATCAAATCATACAGTGAGATGATGATAAAGAGTGGATACCAGAATTTCTTTAGTACATTTTTAATTACATACAATAATTGTAAGTGTAATATATTATTGCCTTTCTTCTCCATGCATTTCAAAGTTCAGGTAAAAGGCAAGATTATGTAAAAAAAAACTCAATAACTGGTGTGCAAAAAATATGTAACAGCCAAAATTGACAAATGTCTTAGCTATGGATCTGCAATGCAATTTGTGTGCCCTTTTTATGAAGCAAGAAAAGAAATTGCTTTGCCAGATTCAAAATGTATTTGGCAATATGCAATAGTTTTAAGATTTCATTATAAACAAGAATCAGTCAGAGGGAGATTGTTTAGGTGAATCTGCTTTTAAAACTCCCAGTACAGCTGAGAGACTTAGTCCCTCCAGCATGTCCCGTGTCTTCTTCGTGGTCTCCTCCCAGTGGAACTTGCCCGGAATACCTCCCAGGGAGCTCCGTAAGCCGGCTCCTCTCATTGTGGAGAGGCAGTGGCTCTACTCTGAGTTCTACCTGTGTGACTGAGCTCCACGCCGAATCTCTAAGGAAGCACCCAGGCACTCTGCAGATGAAAACTTTATCGCCAATAGGCATAGAAGAAAATATTGTTGTATCATTTCTCATTTAAAATCCGGGCCAATGTTTCCAAATATGTATTCAAATTTGTGCAAAAATAGAAATGTACTGTACGCTACAAACTTACGGAATGGGAGTTTCGGATGACAGAAATGTGTCACCCGACGCTACAGTGTGCGTCAGAAATCACAAGGGGTTTGCATCATTTATGAAGGCGCGCAACAAACTAGATGGACGAGGCATGGCCGATCTTTGGCCATGTTTAGCCCTCAGCTCCCCCAGAACTCGGTGTTGCACGTAATAGGGCTCCATCAAAGAGACAGCTTGAGAAAATGTAGGGCAAATAAATTCCATTAGTGTAACACATTGCAAGCAAATGAGCAATCAGAGAAGTCTGCTTGTAGCACCGCTGTGTGGGCCCTTTGCATTCTGAAGCCAGCTCTAACATAGTTCCAAGCAGCCCTTTTCGCCTCACTTTAATTGGTCCAAGGGAGCTAAATGAGCTAAATGAGGATTGTAGCTTGTGTAGCACGGCGCCAGAGTGAGGCTGGTGTTCCGCTTGTGCTCACCATCAGCTCATTAGAAGAGGCACACTGTGGGCTGCAGCTAAACACTGTTAGCTTCACGGGCAATTTATATAAAGGGGACAAAAATAACTGATCAGAAGACGGGGACTGAAAAATAATTAAAAGTAAGCTAATGAGAGGTATTAATTATTCAATTAATGCCCTGAACGTGGCACTGTGGGCTCTGCTGTGAATTTAGAAAATGGGAATATAAGTGAGACAGCGTGAGGGAAAATGTCAAGCCGCGAGGACAAATAGAGGGTGAGAATGAGATATGACGCGGAGAGAAGAGGCTGGAATTTGCATTATTGCTGGGATGTGAAATTGAAGCCCCTTAGCTTAATGCCAGTAAATTGACTATCAGGGCCTGAGGGGTTAGCGAGTGTTGAGGCAAATTGCCCTCACTAAATCAACAAAAAGTCTCATTGTCATTTCATTTCATTTTACACAAATGCCCAAAGCAGACATATTACCTCAGCTACATTCATCTTAAGTGGGTGAGGTAGGGTGTGTGGATCATTCACTCCACTTATGTCGATTATAAACCATTACATTATTCTTTTATTGAGAGAAAAATCAGTAATATTCCCACTTGACACATGGTCATCGTTCAGTACTTTTAATGCAAACCAGTGACATGCCGCATATACAATACACTCTGTCATAGTGGATTTTGTTATTTTACTTGGTTTTATTTTCTCTGTGGCCCTAATCTCTTTCACCTGTGTCTCTGTGCCTGTAGGAGGATCTTGGAGTGACGTTGTTGTTTATAGTTTTTCCGCGCCGGTCAGTTAGCTATTTTTAGACGTTTGGAGAGAGGTTTTACTAAATTAAATAGTCCGTTCTTGTTGTGTAGTCGGTTGTAAGGCCCGCTGGGGACAAATTAAGTTAATTTTCTAATACTTTCGGAAAAGAACAGCAAAAAATGGCCGCGGTAAAGTGGTTGCCTTTTTATGCTGTTACCTACGGTAAACGTAGAACGGGAAGCCGAGGGGATGAGGGGATAAAAATTCATAAACAAACTTGCAAAACAAAGTTTTGCAACTTTCACTGTGCACTTGTTCACTCATTCATTCATTCATTTATGAATGATGATTAATTCCCCCGGCTTCCCGTTCCACCTTTACCGTAAGTAACAGCAAAAAGCGGCAACCCGCTTTAAATCTGCGGACCGCTTTACCGCAGCGGTGAAATGCCGGGCCACTTTACCGCGAGAAATGGATTTTCCCGTGTTTTCTATGAAGCAAGAATAAATGTCTCAGAGTCCCAGTCCCAGCAGATCGGTGCCAAGACAGAGGTGAGTCTGACCAATGTTTTTTCTCGTCATCCCAGGTCTCATTGTGGGCTTTGGATTTGTTTGGTCTCATATATTTATTAGCTTGTCTTTATATCTCCTCTGATCTTCTTGCGTTAAAGTCCGTATATACAGTGCTATTTACCACCCGGCGAGGGGCGCATGCGCACGCAGGTGTAAACAAAGATCCTCCTGTATGTACTGTACCAGTGCTCCGCTCCTCTCCCCTTGTTGCTGGGCCATTGTCAATGTCTTTGCTTGTGTTTGTCTGTCTGTCTGTGTTCCTGTGTTTTGTTTGTATTTTTTGTTTGTTTTTACCCTGAACTTTTATTTTTTTATCTTCATTACATATTTTATTATCTTCATTGCATTTCTGCTTTTTGGATCCTCCATCCCATCACCACATGAAACTTTATGGCTGCTCCCAAACAGACACAGGTGATCAGTTCTACTCCTCGGCGAAAAGAATGCTTCCCCAACGCGCATCACCATATGAGCAACCAACACAATCACACAACAGGCGCAAACAAATTCCAAATGCATTCTTTATGACAAGCTTACTGTTCTTGCTCTGAATTAGCACGAGTCAAAGGACATAATTCCGGTATTTGTCTTCCCAACCGCATTCTGCCTATCTGCGGCGAGAAGTCGGGCACGCTTCATTTAACCACACTGCAGACTCGGAAACAAAAAACACAAAAGAAAATCACATTTGAGGGGCTAAAAATGCATCAGCCACATCATAATGCATCCTCCCACACTATGTATATTTACAATGCCTGCCAACCGCTCGGAGTATCGCTGGGCACTGCTTGCTAATCCATGCTGAACTTACTCATTCCTGTGGAGGGGACAATGGGCTAGACTGTGGTGGCTGAGGTCGGGAAAGCACACTGCATCTCACATTATATTATACAAAGAATTACTAATAATGCAAAATCAGGCTGTCAGTCTGTTAAAAGACACGATGACTCAGAGCATAATGCACAAGCAGTGACTGAACTATATATATTTAAAGAAAACTGTTGTTGGCAAACGCATTGGGATTAACGTCACCGAGTAAAATTGGCCATTACCATGCACGGAACTGACCTTTGTATGTTTACCTAAAATAAAGATTGGAAAGGTCACGGACTGTATACATTTACTGACGATTAAGTTAAACGTGCAGGGAGCTATTGCACCCAGAGCTTATATCTGCAGCAGGCGTGATTGATTTGCAGCTCCACTACAACAAGTCATTATTCTAAACATGGCATTATGAACATATAGGTTGCTTTTTATGTGAATTCTATTTAAGTCGGAGGGTATGTGGAGGTGAAGTCTAAGGGAGGAAGCAATTTTGAAAAATAAAAGTAGAAATGTTTTCCCAGATCATTATTAATAGCGTATTTGATATGCTTTTTTTATGCTCTTCTTGACACTTTTATGAGAAAAATGATTAAACAACAATTGATATGTATTGACAGAGAAGATTACAACATTTGTGACGGATTTTGTTTCATGAATTTGCCCAGGAATTACAGATAAAATAGCTCCAAATTGCAAAAATGACTATAGTTACCAGGAAATGCCATTTTTACAATTCCATTTTAAAACTATATGGTCTTTGGAATGTCTGAACACAACCAATGGATTTGGACTTGTTTTGAATATTCATCCTTCAAAACAAAGAACTCTTCCTTATCCTTGTTTGCAAGACAAAGACCGTACTTACCAAAGAAAAAAATTACACAAATATTGTCGTTTCTTTCTTGTAGTTAGTATTTCATGCACATCCCCATTTCAGACCATAATTACAGTATCTGATGACACAATCGTTGAACTCTATTGGATTATGGGAACAACTGAAACTACTTGAGGATTGAAGAAGGATTAGATATTTGCTTCCTGTTTGGCAAAATGTTACTATTTGTGCATTTAGAGTGATGACAAATGCTATAATTATAACGTTGCAACTACTTTATTACAACTTTTCAAAACTATTTTAATATATTTGAGAGGTTTGAAAAAAATAATTACATGGATACATTATTACAAGCATATACAGTGCATGGAGAACAAAGGCACAACTCAAAACCTCAAACATAATTCTGATATCCACTCATTTCACAACACAATAAATGATGTATATTTTCCTTACCTTCAGAGACCAGTGACAGCAGACCATAAAAGCCTTTTCTTTCACATTGTATCCTTTTTAGTGCCGGTAGTTTATGATGTATTTGAAAATGTTATTACCGGTTTGAGATTGTGTACTGCGGATTACAGTTTTATGAATTGATTTAGTCCAAGTTATTGACTTTAGGTCATAAGGTTTAATTCAGGCACTAAAATGGACAGTGGTTTGGACAGTCACCCCTGACATGGCTGCTGTACACAGTAACTTTAGAGACGATGGAAAACACGTCCACAAGCCAAATCAAGTTTAATTTTGTGTCTCCGAAATATAAAAGCATTGCAGCAAAAGAGCAAGGAGGTGCCGGTCGTATAACCCCGGGTGACTGTAGTGTTTTGAATGGAGTTTATGGATGAATGGGGAACTAGCTCAAGCACAATGCAAATCTAAGCACCACACACCACTAGGGGGGGCTATTTACTGAACGTGTTAACACTCGACAGTTTCCAATGCCTTACGTTGACTCTCTTTGTAAACAAGAGAAGACCTGCGCACTAGTGACGGTTCGGGGTTGTGCCTCGGAGGAGGGGGAGGGGGGACCTGCAAGTTCAACGCTGGTTAGAAGGAGTTATGAGGAGGTTATGCGACTTGGACACCTGTGGGATTGTTATGAATGTGTTTAAACATTTTAGACATTTCTAAGATCTATGGTGAAAGTATGAAGCATATTTACTGGGAATAAATACAGCCTGAGTCCTGAATCCATGCGTAGGAGCGGATCCATACCTCGGGTTTCTCACATTTTTCTCACTGGGTTTTGGGTTATTCCTACCAGGACATTTGGACCGATGGCTTCTCTTATTGCATTTTGTGTTCGAACTCTTGGATTCTCAACAACTTTGTTAAGTCCGCCGAGACGGCTTTAGGGATACACAAAAATAAACTGAATAAATAAATGATCCTAGTGCAAGTGTCACATCTTACTCTATGCACCTGCGTTTATTAGCTAATCTAACCGGACTTTGCAAATTCAAGTACACATTTAAGACACTTTTGTTTTTTTAGGTCATCAAGTGATAATGAATTTAGTTGAGACATCCCTGTGGCTAAAATAGATTAAATAGGATTTATTACAATTCGTGCGGTAATCTGTATTTTGGTATTAATCCAACCCAAAGTAACAGATTTTCTCATGAACTCCTCAATTCAAGATGCTTTTATACAGCACATATTTACCACAAATGTAATTTTTTCTTACATAATTTCCATTTTTTTTTTTTCTGTTATAGATTTTCGAAGTAATATCTCCTCAGGGCTCTTCCTATGTCTTTTTCACATCATTTCTTTAAAAAAATGGCGACTAAAGGGTTAATATTCAAGCAAATTTACATAGTTAACCAATTGATTTAAAAGTGTTGTACAGGTGTGCAATAAAACATTTGATTTGATGAAAAAAGTTATAATCAAACTATTGAGGGGTTTTCTGTTTGTACAAAATCAGGCGTAAGGTGTGGATTTCCCTGCGTCGTTAACTCTCCATTAAACGTCATTGATTCCTGAAATTAAGTTCTATTACAAATCCACGCCAGTGTTGAACTCCCTGCTACTGTCTGTCACATTGCATAGAACGCATTAATTGAAAAATTACGAAGCAATTATGCCATTACTCCTGCAGTTCTGGTCCTGTGCACCCATTGTGGACTTAAAGGCGTGATGCAGCGTGTGACATTCAAACATAACCCGTACAAACGCTCTCGGAGGAACGCGCAGACAAACACATTTGGGCTGTGATTGCTGCCAGTGCAGTGCAAATACAGCCGTCTCATCTCCATAATGAGTGTGGAGTCAGCAGCAGCAGCAGCTCGTCAGTGAGGGTGACTCCAGACATGTTGACAAGAACCGGCTTGAACTTCAACCGGCTTCTGTCAAAGGCCTGACACTGAGAGCATTATCCCTGCCATTATTCACGGCTGGGTGAGCCGCCTACTTACATCCAACACAATGACTTTGGATGTGCCCCGAGAGTGAAGCTCCAGGAGGACGTCGGACGGAGGAAATTATCCATCTTAATTTGTTAAAAAATGTGTTGGCGGTTTTCAGGAGAAATTCCTATTTTATCTTGTTCCGAACCTAAACTGTATGGCTGACCGCAGTGTGTATGGGAAATGGAAGCAGATATGGCAGCAAGCATTAAAAAAAACACATGAACAACTTCTTGCACTACTTTTCAACAGAAAACACATTAAGGCGCATGTCATAGTATGTCATAACATTGATCAATGATTGCAAACGTGCAAATGTAAGTGTACGCTATATACATTATGTGTTAAAAGCATTGGTTTCATATTCTCAGATTAGCTCAGTAACTGCTTTCTTCTTGGAGTTGGTGGTGCTTTAGTGTGAGTGTGTAAGAATGGATGAGCATGAGAAATTCAGAACCCCTCACAGCCTGGCTTTATGTGACAAAGATGAAGAAGATGATGGTGTAAATGAAGATGGAAAGAGGAAGACAAAAGGTAATACAAGCGTTTGAATGTAGCTAAATGTCTACAGCGTCTACACCTGCAGCTAAGGGACTCCCTGGGCATATAAACACAAACAGAACAAGCTCTGGACATTTACACACAGTGAAAGATGGAAACATGTTTAGAGGGTTTTGGGGCAACTATTCAATATTTGCTTGTAGGTCTCCAGTAGGAAATTGTTTTTCTCATTCATATTGTAGATAAAGATATATTGCTGTTGACGGGTATATCTGGATGTAAGGCAAACCTGGGGTACCAAACTTTCAAACCATGATACATAAAAAGATCTAATTATATCCCTTCAAGGCTCTACATCACATGCATGTATTGTTGCCTTTATTACATGTTTTTCAGTGAGAGAAGTGCATAAGAGAGGACCGAATAGTCACTCACATGGGCACTTTCTTACACGTATACAAAATATATTATCTAAAAAGATTAAAAAAAAAAAAATCTGTCATTTTTGTTCACAACATTCTGTTGGGAAAAATAACCCATAGTTTGTAAAAAAAAATCATTAATTCCATCGTTTAAGGACTTGCGTATGTGTTTTCAGTGTATTATCTCTAATTACCAAATCATGAACACATTTGCAACATGAAAACGTGCTTTAGAAATGGTGAGTCGGACAATGGAGACACATTTTGCAAATACAAAGAAATACGTTTGAATGTCTTACACATATGATGTCTTTACAAATGAACAGTGAAAGGAAAACACTGACACAAACAAACGTTAAAGGTATTGACTATTAATTGGGTAAACCTGTTTCAAACTTTGCATTTACTATAAGGGAATCTAAAGTAGGTCTGTGGTGATTTAGAGTGGCTCAACCTTACTTAAGTCATTTATTCTTACCTTAAAAGTGGACATGGCTGGGTCCCTGCTATACCTGCCTATGGTGTGGAACTTGGACGAGTGGTTGAGCTCATGGTACAGCTCAGAGTGTCTTTTGCGAGTGTGCATCACTTTCTGGAAGGGAAAGAAAGGAAGGGATAGCAAAAAATAAACCAAAGATAAAACCAAAAATAAAAAGCTAAAAGTTTTGTCTTGCTCCAACTACTACTATAAGGGGCAATGCATGGAGCTGGGAGAAAAGATGCTGCATTGTAATGAAGCCAGCCATGAAAACGGGATGTTAGAGGGGAGGACGCTGATCAGTTTGCTGGTTCATGCGCACACACCATGTCACTTGGTCTTTGAGAAAAACTGAGGAGTTGTTCTATTGGAGTGAGAAAGTAGTGCAAACATGTGGCGGGAATGATTGATTGACATGGCATTGTTACGACTGGTCTCGGCTCAGCTCTGGTTTTGCGTTTGTTTCTGTCTATTAAATGGACAGGGTATACAGTATGTCAGGATTGTAGACTGTTTATAGATGGACTGTGCCAACCCGCTAGCTCAGTATAGCCTCAAAAGCAAGTGCTTATGGGCGAAGTTGCATATCCACTGACTATTTTGTTCATGTAGTCTTGTACTGTAAATCCAGTTATGAACCCTAACAAAGGACCAATCAGGAGCCTTGTGTTTCCAAATGTGTTTTTAGCTAATGAGCAAGAATGGATCGGCACTGCTCCTGATTAGCTCTTCGGTTTCGAGGCCGTTACTACACACACATTTGACTCCGTAATGCCGCTCATACAGCCAGTTTGTGCTAGCTCTCATCGGCTTCTTCTGCAATAACTTTAGTCTACTCCTTTCACAATCTTTGGTCTGGAGGTGGATATAGTGTGTTATATGTGGTATATATGTTTTGTGTTTGAACGAAAGTGATGCTTAATTCTGTCACAGTCGCCACAGAGTTGTCCTGGGTATTAAGTAGATGTCTTCCTCTGTATATAATCAGCTAAGAGGCTTGTAAATGTGATAGTGGCCATGGAAAGATGCCAGCGGCACACTGAGAGGCAGGGGTTCAGCGACTTGGACTGGACTGATCACTCAGAATAAACAAGCGCTCTCAGGACACGTGTTGAGTCAACGGATTAATGTGTTCAAATACCACGTAAAAGCAACATGTACTGACTAACGTTAGATCAAGGTGATTTTGTCAAAAGTAAAAAGTAAGTTGCAAAGACCTAAACTGGTCAATAGCCTACATTTATTTCAATGATTGCGATTTGTTTCCTAGGGATTTTTGAGGCGCCACCTGCATGTGAAAGCGAGATTTCGTCAGACCTCTGAAGCTAAGCAGGGCAGGGCCTATTTAGTGCTGTGATGGGAGACTTCTGGGAACAGCAAGGGCCACAGTGACGCGGTTGTGTCCTTGGGCAAGGCACTTCACCCACATTGCCAAGTATGAGTGAATGGTGGTGGAGTAATTGGTGGTGGATATCAGAGCCGATGGCACATATTCCTCACATCTGTCAGTCTGCCCCTGGGCAGCTGTGCCTACAGGAGTTGTTTACCACCACTGTTTATATCTGTATAGAGTGAAAGAATAATGTCATGTGAAGCGTCTTTGAGTGTCCAAAAAAAGTGCTATAAAAACTAATGCATTATTTAACGCTGCTGCTTGGGTTGCCAACTAAAAGGGGGATACAAAATACATACAGGAAATACAGCAAATGTGAAAGTTACATAATAGCATCATCTAACTCCAAAAAGGCCTTTAGCCCTGTAGTTGAAAGTTACAGATATGCATCCACTTTGGCAACTTTTTCTTTTGATATATAAAAGGAAATTTGACAGTTTCTGCAAACGTGCCACTACCATGCAAAAGCCATAGCAGTGCATTTGTGAAAATTAGAGCAATAGGATTGTGGTTTTTAACATTGACAAATCAAAGTTGACATCAACCAACACCTATACTGCACACAGGGCTATTCCACACCATTTAAACACATAAAAGAGAAGAGATACCAAACTAAACTAAGACAGAATTATTACAAAATGACAGGTCGACCCAAGACATAATCAAGTGACAAGCATTCTACGTTGCTGTTTCTTCAACTATAATACCATCAGCGCATACATACCATACTTTCAAACAAACAAAACAAAATAATAGTAATTGAAAAAACAGCAAGCTTTGTGAATATAAAAAGATTTAATGCAAGAGCAGGTGGAGTGGGGAAGTTCAGCGAGGCTTTTTGCTCCTCTAGGTGTTACTGAAGTCCTGGCAAAAGCACATGAAAGCAGAGACAGGCTGATGGAGGGGAATGTCCGACGTCTTACCTCAAAATCCAGCTCTGAATACCGTACTCTTTTCCTCTGGAAGAGGAGGGGTAGGAGGAGAGAAGACAGCATCAATGACCAGCCCTCAGCATCTACTGACCTGTGCTAGTTCACTCTCCAACAAAACCAAGGAGAGCTGGAATACAGTGGCTGCACGTTGTGATAAAGATATTACTCCTCCGAATGTCAAAACCAAAATGCTAATTATTCACACTCTCTCAGCGTAATGAGATTAGTGAAGTAGAATAACCCAGAATTAAAATAAAATCATAATTTCTCGCCTCGGATACTCTCAAATACAATCATTAAAGGACCAGCATGAATCCTCCACTTTGCTATTTAAAGGCTTCTGTTTGAACATTGTGATTAGCAGTACACTCCTGTAATGCTGTTTGGACTCCAGCTCCCTGCTCTTAAGTGCCTCTGCAGCATCCACCACTAAAGCACAAGCTGCCAATTTAGCTGCAGCAGACATTTACAGCTCATCTGTCCCTGACGCTGTATTGTGTTCTATTGTGTCTGACTTCCAGTCACGCTACTGCTGCTGCTGTCGGCCAAATGCAAATCTGGCACCCGCGTGCCATGACGCTCCACAGTTTGTAAAAACATCTATTCAGTGAAAGGCCAGGCTGCTTATCTGTGCCAAGGTTTCAGGACGATAAAGTGACTCAGTGTCTTGACTTCCTGCTCTTTCAATTGACAACTGTGTTTATGGAAGCTAACACCATGATCTCCTCTTGTAGCATGAGTGCCATGTTTGAGAAGGACACAATGGATCAGAAAATTGCACAAAATTAATGCAGGAATCTACAAAATGTGTCAGCCAGGCATTAAGGGCTTCAGGATATACAAACAAAAATACACACTTCTTTAGTACATACCTGTTTGAGCTATAGTGATGGTGGTAATGAAGATGTTGTTACTGTTTTTCTACCTCCTCTCTCCACAACAAATGTATTTGATTAAAAGTGACCTTTTTCTATTTGTAAGGACAATAGTTCAAAGCAGACTATCACTCCTATTATTCCTTCATGGTGGTATTTTGGGCTCTGTAGTTCACAATGATCAACATGAGGAAAAGCCCTGGTTTAACTCACATTATGAGTTGGCGTCTCTGTGTTTGACTTTCAGAGTGTGAATATATTGAGGGAGCTTCACTCTGATGTTATCCATTTCCAGATGAAGAACTTTCAAACAGTATAAGAAGTTGCTCTGCAGATTTCTGTATTAATGAGTAAACTCCTTATCTGATGATGCTTCTAATGCTAATTATTCAGTCAATGAGTTTGAAAATCAATTTAGAGAAGGATATTTCTATTACTTTCATAGAAAATCTGACACAGCTGTCACAGCCAAAAAGTCTTAAGTGTGTGTGTGTGTGTTATTCCAGTTTTGACAAGTGCCTTGTCAAATTGCATCTATTGGTGAGTTGCATGTATTTTCACGGAACGCCCTCTTCACCAGATATATGCGAGTGCTCGGAAAACCCCATGAAAACATGCTTTTCCATCACGTCTTTCATTGGTGAAAAGTGAGTGTGTGGTGTGCAGACGAGAGTATTGTTTTCTTTTGCTAACTTCAAGCGTTACACAGAGCTTAGTTGCTTGCTTAATGCAGAGGATGCAACCAGCAACGTGCAGCTCTGTGGTTTATTGAATTTGGCTGATACTTGTTACCTGTGTTAACAGCAACAAAAAGTAATTGGCAATTATTAATGTGTTAGCATGAAATAACACGCTAATGTATGGACATTATTATAGTAGGGATAAATATGTTCATTTACAGGACCATTTGTTGAATAATTTTAAACAATAAACTTCTTGTTAAATATATTTTAAGAGGAAGTTAATATAAATAATAAATAGAGTTCATTACTATAAATTTGGCACGTGCCAATATTTGGCACTTGAAAACACATTATTTAGTCTAGGTATAATTCTGAGTAAAGTGGAAAATCTGACTTTGTAGAAAGTAATATGAATGATTCAGAATAATTACCTTTCTTATTTTGGCTTTGAGCCAATAGAAACTGTATCAATTCATTAATAGACTTTGGAGGCAGAGCAGGGCGTGAGCTAAGAATGAGACATGTAACTAGGCCACCTTTCCACAGCCCAGAGTACACTGAGTTTGTGTGTGTGTGTGTGTGCTTTCAAAAAGGTGGGTTCAAAGGCATCCGGCGGGGGTAGTTCCTCTGATCCAGAGAGTCTCCCTCCATCTGTTGTATGGGCAGCAGAGGCTGGTCCTCACACTCTCACACACTGACCTAAGAGGGGGCCGTCTGTCACCAGAAAAAAAATAACTGCTATCCTCTCCAGTAACTACCACCCAGGTGAGAGGAAGATCTCTTAGTGTCCCTTCTCTTTCCTCCTTAGCAGAAATTGCCGCCCACGGTTTTGAACAACATTAATGCCTTAATGTTTATTTGCAGTAAATTTGCAGATATTGAAATGTTTGAACCTAAACTAAAACAAAAGCTGCATCTACACATCGTCTCAAAAATGTTCAGTGGAATAAAAGATAGAAATGCAATGTAAGAATGCTATGTTATTGCTATGATACAAGTCCATGTTCTTGTAATACCGCTGATATATACAGTACATGGACACACACTATACTGCATATGAAAAAGCAACTTCTGCACTGATTAGATATATGTTTTGTTAGTATGAATAGGTGCTATCGTATTATATATATGATATGTAAAAATGAAGGACATCTAAGCGTTGGAGTTGGTAGAATAGCCCTCCTTGACCCCGCCACCCACCCCCCACCTTTACTCACCTCCAGGGATCCTGCCGAGATGCTGCTGTTGGCGTTTGTGCTGCCAAGGTTATGGGGCAGGGTCCTGGTTCTCTCTACTGCGTTTCCACCCGTGAGGATCTGTCTGACAGATGGCCTCTGTCCAGGCTTCAGCTGTAAGGAGTGTCCATGGGGATGCAAGTGCCCACTGTGGGGGTGCACCAGGCCGCCTTGCACCATCATGTGCCCGTGGTTGTGGGGCACAGTTTTGATGGTCCCATAGGAGCGGTTGAGGTTCATGGTGATGTTCATGTCGCCCACACTGGACGGTACAAAGTCTGCTGGGTAAGCCTCGCTCTCTGCAGGGTGAAGGGTTAAGGGAGATGGGGGTGGGGGGAAAGGAGGGTCCTCCAGGGCGATATTGAGGGGCTTGTCCTCGCCCCCTAGTCCCAGACCTCCTCCGTGGGAGGAGGCTGCAGGAGGTTTGAGACTCACTGTCCTCCGTGGTAGCACCATATAGTCCCCTTCACCTCCACCTGTGCTCCCACTGCCCGCAGCACTGCCCGCACTTCCCCCACTCCCAGCGCTGCCGTCCTGGGATGTATTGGAGGAATTGGGCGGTCGAGCCCAGCCCAGGCCACTCTCGGTGCACAAGTAAATTGGAGCTCCAGTGTGCGGCCCCTGCCTCTGCTGGTCCACGTTCACCTCCTTCTTCAGCGGAGTCTCACTCAGCTCATTCAGACCTCCTAAAGGCGGCACCTGCAACACACACACAGTCGTTTAGCTGCACGCACTAGAATAAAGATTAAAACCAAACAACATACATGACACATCCAGCCATTAGACTGATGTTTCATGCTACATTATTTAATTCATGCAACATGAAAACATAATCTTGTAAGGCCTACACCCACTGGCCTCTAACATAGCATCATAAGCCAGTCAGTCCATAAGATGTCCAAACTTAGGCCATGAAACAGTCCTGTTAAATGAGGAGAGAACTTGATGGACAAAGCAGATGTAAAATATCCAAAATAAACTGACTCCCAAAGCCAAAATTGGTGGTGCAAATGTTGTCAGGATCTTGTGTCACTTCCAAATATAAAAGACATTGTGAAGAGAGACAAAATGGCTTTTTGACATAATACAAACACTGGGTAAACCTGAGCAGAATGTAATTTTGTTTTTTATTACCTGCACTATGAGGTTGGTAGGAGGTATGTTGCCAGGTAGTGAGCTGAAGTTGACTCCTTCCTGATGGGTCGCCAGCTTGGGATCGTCCTCGTCGTCTAGGGAGATGCGCGAGAGTGTCCCTGTGATGGTGGTGGGGTTACAAGTATTCACCTCTTTGAAAATAACTACAAAGAAAAATAAAAGCATGGCAATAGGAGAGAGAAAGAGGGAGAGAGAGTGGGGGAAGAAGGCATGAGGTGATGGAACGTCGAGCAGTGTTCCGAAAAGGAATCGGATACAAGGATTTTGAGGAGAAAAGACTTCAAATTAATACTGGAAAATGGTGTCTGAAGATCAAGATTTATTCAGAGTTCTCTCAATATCAATATAACTGTGCTACAAAAGATATTGAAAATCAGTAGAGCATTCTCTGTGCTGTTGCTGACGAATGATTTTATTTGGCCAGAGAGTCTCAAAGCAATAGGCATATAAATATTAATAATAAAAGCACAAACGTATCTGCATCCATAAAAAAATATATTAATGCAGGCAACGGCTATACAACATTTTCTGAGAGGAAAAATAATAAAGTTTAAGGCTCAGTCTTTCATTTTGCGCCTGGTCTCAGGGCAGTTGCTGTAAGACAGACAATACTTCTGGCGATAAGAGAGTTGAATAGAAAGCAATAAATAAGAAAGTTTAAATAAAAGTGCCTCAGTCTACACATTTACTTGTGTACCTGTCCATGCATATATTAAAGATGGTTTGCATTTTACGTCCGGTAAAATGCAATCTTCCGGTATACTGATGCTATAATATATAATTCGTTATCAAAATCCAATCATACCAAACTAGCTGTAGACACTGTGACATACAGGTGAAACTCAGAAAATTAGAATATTGTTCAAAAGACCATTTACTCATTACCCATAGACTGACAGAGTATCAAGGCTTGATTTGAGAAAACACAAACAAATAAAACCAATTATGTTTTGAAAATTGTAAGTAAGTAAGTAGTATTCATTATCTATACAGCGTCTTTCACAGACCAGTCACAGTGCGCTTTACTTTTTTTTGGGGGGGGAGGGGCATGCCAGACCTATATTGAACATGTTTTTAGTGGTAGGGGAAACCTGAGCACCAGGAGGATTCCAATGCAGACACGGGCAGAACATGCAAACTTCACTCAGAAAGGCCTTGTTCCGACCGGGATTCAAAACCCAGGACCTTCTTGCTGCGAGGCAAAAGCACACTATACACTCTGCCATCGTGTTGCCGCACTTCCAAAAAAACAGTCATATGTCACTTTGCATGTATCGAGTCTATTTCATATATTTGTTAAATTGTTAAATTACAGAAATGTATGAACTTGTGAACAGTATTATACATTTTTGAGTTTCACCACTAGAATGAGACTATCGAAGACGGCAAGCAGGTTTGAATGAGATCATTCGAGTGAGGGGAGGAGACCAAAAAAACAAAACACAAGCACTTACATGGGTGTCCTCTTTCTGGAAAGTGGAGGAGAGAGTGAATTTGTTAGTATTTTTTTGAAAACCAAATTGCTTCACAAACCCACAACCGCGCACACACGCACACACACACGCGCACACACACACAAACGAAAAACTCTCAACTGCCGCATCACAGTCTGCAGGCCGATTAACATGCACAATTACCCACAAACTCATCCAAACACTGCGTCCCTACGGGCCCGCTATTTGGCAGAATATTTGAGATCGATAAAGCATTGTAATTTGTGCTCCATTGGTGAGCGTCTTAGCGCATTTTCCACCGTCATGCATTGCTATAGATGTCCTATTAACTTGCCAGGTGATGCACAGACCCCAAATTACATGTGAAAAGTGCACTCACCTGTTTGACAGGCTAAATCCACGTCCTTCTCAAAATCCGTCTGCAAAAAAGAGGGGACAGGGACAAGTACTTTCAGCGCATTAACATCATTTTTCGTGTTGAGTTCAATGGAGAGGCGCAGACTGTCGTGTACAAAAAAAATGTGGAGGCGTTTCCATGGAGATGCATGAAAGAACGGCGATGATCATGACTTCTCGTCGCAGAAAGTGTTTTTTACTTTGACATTCGGCGCGTATTTTTTCCCAGATTATTATGTAAATGTAAGGCTATAGCTCGGCCTTGTCTTTGGATCGAATAGGGACACAAACACAAAACTAAAAAGATAGCTCTCAGCAACTAGCCTTCAGTAAATGTGCAAGGAAATTTGTTTTGTGTTAAACCGTGGTCTGCACAATATTTCTTCTTTATTAAAGTATCAACAGCTTCTACATTATTCAGGTGCAATTCAGAAAGTCATCTTTTAGCCGTATTTGTTAAATATTGAAGAATAACTGCAGAATATGCAACATCTTGAATTGTTTGTGCTACAAGCGACAGTATCTCTGTTCTAACTCTCTTTAGTACGCTGTGTGGATGACATACTGCAATCGTAAACACATAAACATCACACTAATGTCACCAATCATAGTGTTGTAAATTGTACTCTTTTAACAGCTCTGGAAACTCGTCAAAGTACTCATAATTTAGGATTAGAGAGATTTAGACCTTAACATTTAAAGTATACTGTATTATTTAACACTAGGATCTAATATAAACCCCATTAAAATCAATAGAATTTAGAATATTCTTTCAAAGTGGTGCTGATGTCAGGTCTGAGCCTGTTCTCCAATCAGAACTAATGTTTATGTCAGGCCTCACACCAGACCTGACCAGAACCAGAAATAGGAACGTACATATAATCACCCCTAAAACAGCTGAAAAGATACACAATGGCTGCTCTGAAGTTAAGGTATGGTTACTCATATTCTTGAAATGAATTGAAATTTGAACAAATAAAGGAACAAGGCTAATTGTTTTGGACTATAAAGTGCACCTGTATAAAATAATTCGTATAGCATAAAAGGGTTATTCATAATTGTTACTGGTGAACGTGGTCACACAAAACACACACACACTATGTCTATTGTCTATGTCTAATGTCTACGTCTAGAGCCCACAGTCTGGTCTACTGGTGACATACTGGCGTGGCGTTGGCATGGCTGTGGTTGTGGTTGTGTGGGAGGTAGATTGAGTTATGGTCATGCGCGAGGCTGAAGATGTGGTTGGCTGGGGCCAGGTAGCCTCTGGGCAGAGTGTGGTAACAGAGCTGCTGACACGTCGACTGACACGGCGCTGGCAGAGGCGGTGGGTGGCCACGGGGCAGGCACGCTGATGTGCCATAACGCAGCGGGACGCACTGCGGCCCACAGAAGCTTTCATTGGAACACTTCTGATGGAGCAGAATGGAGAGCGTACAGTGGGGGTGTTACATGATGAAAGACAGGATTTCTACAAAGAATGAAGTTCAAAATAAGACCAGACAATGTTTATTCCACGCAAAGAGTGACGTGGACATGAGCAACAACAACAACAAGCATCAGTGTAAATCTATATTTTGTACTGTTCAATCTGTGTTTTTATAATGATTTGTAAATGTGATGTATTTTTATGTCTTAGGGACCATGGTCTGCAAATTAGCTGTGAGCTACACGGCCTATGAACATGACATTGGTTATTTTTAACAATGCTTCTTGTTGTGTCCCCTATCAAACGAACATAAAATAAATAAATATAAACTTGGTGTGGCCTTCCAGTTTCTTTCCGTAACTGGATGTCACGCGGTATTGTGAAAAATACCGTTTTATCTATAACAGAGGCCTTGTATGTATATTGTATATTCTGCTCTAACTATTTCAAAGGATTATGATTTAAAGATTAAAACTGTTCTTGATGTTGGCGCCACGGAGACAGAGCAAAGGACCCTCACTATCATAGCATGCAAAGTGCCAGGGCAAAATGGAAACTTTGAACAAAACAATATTGTGAAAGAAGATATAACCAAGCAATTATGACATCGTATCTACATACAGAAGACAGGATAGAAATGAATATTCTATTTTTTTTTTTTTTTACATATGTACTTACACAATGTTTGATTGTAGGCTTTAGAATAGAAATAAACTAAAATTGTAATTTATTTAGAAACAATTTTGGAGATAGTAATAGCCCTCAAATACAATTTTAAAAACTATTATAATGATACCACTAGTTGTTGATAGTGTGTAATACTTTAGTGGGTTTGGCATACACACACTAAACATACATTTCATTGGTTAGGCCGTTATTGGTTGAATTAACTAATATATTTGTCAGAAATGTTTATGAATACACTGTAGTTAGTTTTGGAATTAGAATGACTAAATTTCATCAGTTGGAAAGAGATTTGTTGAAAACACCGGCACAGTACCTGCCTACTATTGTATGTGCATGTGTCTGCCTGATCTCAGAGGACTTCAGGACCTAAACAGGGCAGGGCTTTGTTAGTGCAATGATGAACTATTGTTGTGCACTTAGGCAACACACTTTACCCACATCGTCTGTTTTTTAGAGTGTACTTGAAAAAAAGTTCTTCACCTTTAGCCAAGTTATCACGACTAACACCCATTGTAACATCTCTAAATGTCAGGGGTTTCGTAATCTAATGAGTTTCCCGGCGACTCTAGCAGGAACACCTATGTGAGTGATGCGCGTCGTAATTAAGGCGTAAGTACAAACGCACACATCTCCATCAAAGCAGCGCGCCTAGAAGAAAACGCTCCCCCGGGGGTCGCTCTTGTTGTGCAACAGATCTGCAAACGCTTCTGCAACTGTCAGAATGTCAACGCGTCTATTTCCCCAGTCATAAAAGGTAGGCCGTAATGTGTTAGCAGAATGATGGCCCCCAAGTTTAATCAGAGGAACCGCAGAGGGCTCTTTGGAGGACTATAATCGTTAGGGCCAGTCCGTCTGGGAGAGAAATAAAGGTATGAGGAGTCACCTGCGTGGCACTCGTAATACCATGACCGCACTGACTTTGGCTGTACAACTTAGCTTAACTCTGTGTGATTTATAATAGTAATAAACACATTGAGAACGCATGCAAAAACATTTCATCTTGACAACTTTCCGCTCTTTATCTCAAAAGTTAGTGATTGAACTTAACAAAGTTGTTGGCAAAAGGTATGAATAATATTAGAATACATCAAATTATACATCAATTCATCTGTTGACACTTCAGTTATTCATAAAAGGACGTTCTTATTTGCTGCTGCGAGACGAAGCCGATGTTTTCTGAAGTCATTTGATATCACACTGTAGTAGAAATATTCAATTGACTGGTGAATAGAGTATAAAGCTGGGGTATCTAACTTATTATTTCATAAAGTTGCCTACATAAATAGTATTGTAAAAGTTAAAGTGAACATATCAGGCCAAAACATGCTGCTGTGGGCTGACGCTTAGGGCTGAGAGATGAATTGGTTGGTGGGGGTGGTCCTCTCTTTTTCAATATTCTGTTTAGAAATCTAAAACATACATCCATGTGAAAACTGCTGACAGAAACACATTTTTTAGAGACGAACAAACAATCTAAAACTCTTTAGAAAAGTTCATAGCTCAATGTTTTTATGGTTTTAAAGCTTTCAGTCTGCGTCCTCCAGCCCGAGTCCTGGATCCTCCTTGAGCTTTCTCACTTATTCCCACTGGGTTTTTTGAGTTGTTCCTCGCTGATGCAGGAGGGTCTGAGGACTGTGATGATCCAGGACACTAGTGCACACTTATAAACATGTATGGGCATTGATCATCCATCCCCTATGGGCCAATGGCTCGTATGTGTTTGTTATTACTGCATTTCCTGTGTTCAAACTGTTTGTTTTTCTGATCTGTTGATGGCAATTCAACAACCGTGTAAAGTCCTTTGAGACAACTGCTATTGTAAAATGAGACTATACAAAATACCCCAGATTTAATATGGTTTTAATAAATGCAGTTATAATATCTGTACGATATCTATCAAAGCTTATAAACCTATATCCACTCATGTCTGACCAATAAGGGTTAAAATACCTTGTGTCTGGTAAAAAGGCTGCAATGGTTGACATGCCTGAGTGTGATGGATGTGGACAGCTGTAAAGTGAGCTGCAATATGGAATGAAATGAAAAACTATTCACCATAATCTGCACCTGTCCGTTCTTGCAGGAGTCGGGAGAGTTTTCGCTGTCGTCCTTACATCCCCCCATTCGGCAGCGGACAGCATCCTGCACCTGTGGGATACAAATACAAGATTTCCGTCAGGAGAGAAAAAACAAGGTTAGGAACTCAAACTGAATCTGCTGCTTTTGATGCCATTTTCTGTGAATTCAAAATACGAAAACAAAACACAAGAACAGTAAAGGCTTCCTTTGCCAGCTGGCTCACAGTGCTGCGCAAAAGTTTGAAAGAGGTGCGAAAAGGCAGCATAAAACTCAATAAAAAATGACACTTTTGAGTTAGAAAACAACCAAAGTTATGGAGTCCAATAACCAAACTGAAAAATTGAAAGTAGCCTGCTGAAATACTTACAAAAACAATTTATTTTAGTACAGTTAAGAGTAATAAGTATAACACTTCAAATGTATACATGTGTTACTTTGCGTAGTATGTGTATGCAAACTACTCAAGAAAGAGTAATCTGAAGAATCACTGTCTATGTTTGTCCTGTAATATGAGAACAAAACTAAAATAAATATGTTTATCTAGTTTCTTTTGCAGAACATGATGTAAAAAGCTACATATCCACTGAGACAAGCCTATGGTACAATCCCCGAATCAATCCGAGTTGCTGATTTCAGACTCCTACATCTGAACATGTATTTGTGCAAATAGCTACAACTTCAAATGTGTCTGTATTTAAAAAAAAATATATATATAAAAACATGTTGTCCTCACACTTGCCTCAGATTGCAGATTATATAAGAGAAAGCAGAGCGATGTGGGGAGGAGGGGGGACCTCTTCAAAGTGGCCTATTTGAGCCTTGTGAAATCAGTGGCTCTGAATCCTAATTAAAACCCACAGTGCACTATAGAGACACTTTAACCCCTGGGCCCTTCTACTGCCATATTGTTCATTTTCATCCTCCCCATACACACACACAAACACACACACATTTTATGCCAATGGACTGCTTCTTCTTGTAGCTCAAATCAAATAGATCCGTGTGCATTATGTTCCACAGCTGACTGCTAGCGTCTCTCCCCTCCATCAGCCCCTGTATTATAGATGTTCTGGTTATATGCCGGGGAGCAGGCTACATTTCTCACCGTTGCTGCTGTCAAATCCCATAAGATTCTCAGCGCTGGTGTAAGGAGCGGTTGCTAGAGCCTCTATGGACGCACTGGGTGGTCTAGCGCTAAGTGTATATGCAGCGCTTTGCAAATGGAGTGGACTGGAGTGGCATCATGACGGATTAATATTGCAAGCGCACTCGTCCTCGGTTTGGTCGCCGTGCTTGTACTCGATTGTGTTGCTTCTTTGCTTTACTTGTGTATGAGCTTGTTGCTACATCAATGCAAAATGGTAGGACACACTACAAAAAAAAATCTACTTTAGTCAGGCTCTTAACAGATGAAAACTGGTTGGGTGATGCAGGAAGCTTTTAGGGTGATCTCTATTGTCAGAAAGGAAGTAGAGCATCTTAAGGGTCACTCATATAGTGGTGCATTTGCTTTCAACAGAGTAAAACCAATGCAATATGCCATGCACAAAAATTCCCAGCAGGCCGTGTAAGCACTTGGAGAGTGAAAAGCTTTCTTTGTAAAGAATTGTTGAGTTCCTTTGAAGGGCACTCTATACAATTGAATTATCATTACTGCCAAAGAAAACAGATTTTTTTATTTTCCAATAGACAGTGTACACATCACTCAAAAATCAGTGAAAACTACATTATTATGATATCTAAAGTGAAGGTCAGTGACTCAAATGTTGAATATGAAGAGACCTGCCCCCTGATTGGACGCAATGACAGTTGAAGCCACGATTGGTTTAACTAACTCCTGCAAATCTTACTGGTGATGGTTATGCCAAGTCAGTAAGTAAGTGTGCCTGGTCCTATGAGGTAAACACTAAGAATAGTTTTCCAAGTATGCCTAGTCCTATGAGGTCTACTCTAAGCCATATGGAGGGACTGTTTCATTTGAAGTGCTGTGACAATATTTTAGATAAAATTACAGGCTATTATGGTCAAAAAATATAGTACAATTGACGTTGCAGACATCACCTTTAAATCCTGCAGTATAATAAAAATGACTCAACATACAGTAGAAAGCATTATTTACTCCTTTACTTAACCAAGCCCCTCACTGGTTCCCCTCTTTTGACTTGGGGTGTTGGGGCTTTGTGTTTTTCCTCCGGTGACCTGCTAACCAAACCGCCTCTGTCGACACATTCTCCTACCTCAGTGTGACTGATCTCAGCAGGCTTTCTCTGCCACCAGGTTTCCTTTATTCCCAGCTCCCCAACACAGAGGCGGGTGGCTGTGAGCAGAGCCCCAAATGCTCTCAGCACTGCGCTCCCGTCTAAGGTTTACTTCACAAAATATCACACTTTACGTTGCCTGTGGTTTTGCCGAGTGTTCCCACCGGTGCGGCACTAGCTGTTCTGCAAACCTGGATTATTCAACAGGAATTTATATGCAGGCTCAGGGAGGGACTTTAACTCATTCATAATACACATTTCCTGGATTTTTCTTCTCTACTCTTGGAATACTCCATAATAATACTACATACAGTTGTCCAAAAATCAATGTCCAAGAGCAGATTTTGAAATTATATCATATGTATGGAGTGAAAAAACACGTACAAAACGTCTTTGAGTGTCCAAAAAATAGCTGTAAAACAATAATGCATTGTTTTTATTATTAATATTATCTCAAATCATCAAACTCTAACACACACAAAACCGCATTGGCTTTTCTACAATTTCTACATAGTGTCATTCCCAGGGACAGAGCAATAAAATCACCTAGGAAGAGTTGCCCTTTATCTGCCAGTTTTTAATAACCTCTCCAGCAACGGAAACAGTGTCACCTCCTGCCACATTTTCATAGTGAACTCATTCACAAGCTTGAATAAAGAATTAACATCAACGCGCCTTAAAAGTAACCAAGCCACCCCTGCGGAATCTCACCGCTTTTGTATGATACAGCACTCATGCGACCTTTAAGAAAAAAAAATATAACGACTTCGACTTTGCATTCAATTTCACTTAATGTAAGCAATGCGTGTTTATGTGCTCCACTGAACACATTAACATAAAACAGACAACATTGTAAATTCATTAATTAGAAGTAGTGAAGCTTGAGTTTGTCTGCACCAGGAGATAAGTGCTGGGCTGTCCCGCGGGTAACAAAGACACATGTGCATCTATAGTTAAAATGCGCGAGGGGCTATTCCGAAGCAGATACCAGAGTATGCTAGTGAGCGACTTATCCTATCTCCAGCTATACAGCATCTTTATAAGCTCCTCAAAGCTGCCTCAGATCAGACGGACAATGCCAGAAGATCATAGTGCACTTTGAAAGGGAGGAGAGTGGTGACAGGAGACAGGAAGTTCAGGCTAATCCTTGTCTAGTCTATTTTGCCCGGACTTCCAAATGATCCGGTAACTTACACGTCGCGCTAACATTTATCTAACCTGTGGCTTGGAGACTGACTTTATCCGGGGTCATTATTTGAAGGATGATAAAAATAGGCGAGAGAGAAAATGTGGACTCACCTCACGACGCATAGCACAGTGGATGGTGATGATGACGAAGCCCTGGACTGAGTCGAAAACAGCAAACAGGATCTAGAAGGGACAGAATAATGTAATGTCTATAAATGTATGTCATTATGAAATAAGGAATCATGCATGTATTTGTCCACATAAGGATTGAAACAGCATTTGTATCACATGGTATACAGATTTACAGTCATTAGTTAGTGTTAGTGGTTGTGTTAAGCCATTCTGTCAAATAAATGTCTTTTCTATTTTTCAAACCATAACATAATTGAGCAGATATAATGTATAGTAAAGGTACAGTTGCCCGGGAACGTCAAGAACAAGAGGCTTTGTGTAAAGAAGAATGACCAGCTGTACCATCAGGCAGGATAAAGAACCTTATCCACAGAGGACTACAAGCTGTTATAGCTATTAACGGCTTCACTACTGAGAACTGAGGGGATGGGGACTTCTAATCAGGGTCATTTTAGTAGTTTCTGATGTCATTATTTTATACAAATAGAAAACAACTTGATTTGACATCTGATGCTTAACACAACTGCAAAAACAATGAGCAATAAATACAAATAATAAAAATGGTCAACTAATTCTGACCATGAGCATAAAATAATTGAAACCACTGTTCAAATCAAGGGGAGGTTTCAATACAAACCGTCAGAATGATTATAATGGACTAAATACTTTTTGCGATTGATACAGTTATGCTACCAGTTATGTAATACAGTTCAGTGTATGCCTTTAGGTTAAAGCTGCAGTATATAACACCATGTGGATTAACAGTGTCCTTGATGGATGGCTTGCAACACAGTCAGAGGCAGCGTTTGTTCCACAGAAGACTTCAGTGGCCTATTGAAGCTTGCTTAAGACCAAGGTCTCCACAGTGATTGAATAAAGGCCCATTCAAACGCATGTCCTTTATTCAATGTGTGAGTGATACTTATAGAAAAATATTGCATCACTGTTGACATGCCTCACTACACAATGTGTCACTTGTCGCTAGAAGTACAACACCTTGAAAAAAAAGCACACTGGGATACACAAAGAAACATCACATTCTTGCCTATGGTACAACTTTTGAAGATTATACCTGGAAAAGTGTAGATCTCCGGTCAGTTATGGCCAGGACCGCTGACATCCAGGTTAATGCTAGGAGAGGGAGAACTACACAAGAGCTCCACAGCGAGGCCCTGTCAGATTGGGAAACAGGCCAGAGACAGAAGACACAAAGAGGGCAGGAAAAAGTGAAATCCTATGCCAAAATAATGCTGACTGAGACATATGTTGAGCGGATGTGCAGTTTGAGTTTGATTGGCAATCTAAAGTCTGTTCGGCAGAGAAGTGGAAGATGATCTGTAATCATGTAGATAGTTACGTGTCAAACAATTGCGTACGATTACATGGTAGATGCACAATGTAAGTGTGGCAATGGCAGGCTGCGAGACGTCGGGCCGGGTCTGGTTCGAACTGTAGTGGCTCATGCCTCTTTGATGGAAAACATGTGTGTCTATGCGCTAAAGCTAGACACCAATTTCAAACGCTCAAGCTGTCCGTGCGCGTTGAGGTTTCGTTGATGATTGTGCGAGCTCCGTGCAGGGTTTGCGTAAAAGGGTAATCATGTCAAGGCAGTAGTGTGTGTTTGTGTGTGTCTGTGTGCGGTCGGATTTTAACTCAACATGCTAAGACTCAACTGTGCAAGATGTTCATTAGACTGTGGAAAATTAGTTCTAATCATTGCAACACGCATGGAGCCTTTTAAATTGACACATACCTAAGCCAGATAAATTAACGTGATGTGTTTATGTATCCGTGTGATGCCTGGATGTGCAGTGTTTCTAGTTTTTGCATTAAAGCTGGGATAGCTATTTCAAACCACACAACATGGAACTATGTACTGAAATTCAGCTAACCGATTCTGAAACAGCTTGGTTTATTGTATTGCATTATGTCTGTTTGATATTCTTTTACAATATGGACCAATTTGATTCGAGTTTGGATTATAATAATCATTAGAAATATATGTTTTTGAATATATTTTTGGTCTCTGTCACATTTTGGATAAGCCAGTGAAAACAGGGGACCACCCTCACCCTCAGAGTCCTGTGAGGGGGTGGTCCATCTTACTGTCTTCTTACTTTACATTCTTCTTACTTAAACGTATATAGAAGGATTTTCCCATATTTTAGGAAAGAAGCACCCTCTCCAAAAAACAATAGTCTCGACCCCAGTGATTTGAAAATCCTCCTATATACGTTTAAGTGTGGGAAATGCAACATTTGACAACAGTATGTCATGGTCTGATTCACAAAATGATACTTTTACAAGATTCTGTCTGTTGGCAGAAACTAGGGTGTTATATTGAAAAAGGTACCCCAGCTTTAGTCTGATTCTAATCGAAATATTTGTCAATTCTACACATAACTACTGCTAGAGAAATTTGGAAAGAAGTTGAAGTTACCGATATGTGATTGCATATTAGCTACAGTATATGGCTTATTGTTCTTTCACTGCATTTTAAGCTCAGATCCATGCACTCTTGCGTATATGTGCAGAAGGGGCAGAAAGATGCAAATGAACTAACATGGCACTGCTGGCTGTGGTGCTGGACATGCTGGAGCTAGATATGACGCCACACTTGGAGCATTTCAGGAGCAGCCGACTCCCCGCCTCTGCTGGGACACTTTGGGCATGTACACTACGTGGAGTGGAGGGGCCAGGCGGGTTGTGCGATTACATGGGGACAGGGAGGAGTGCAGGTGAGACAGTGGTGAATAAGGATGATGGAACAAGATGGGGATGATAGAGAAAAGAAAAAGGGCAGGGGAGAAAAGAAAGAAAAAAAAAGAAAAAGAAAATTAAAATCAGATCTTGACAAAAGTAGCAGCAATGAACACAGTCAAAAATTACTGTTTGGTTAAAGTGGAATAAAGTGACGGACGAATGTAAGACTACTTCGGAAGAGTGATGTGGACCTACGTGCTAATTAGTGCTGAAATTATCACAACAATTCTATGATTACAATTTTCCTCCATCATCTGTTAAAAGGATGTGAAACAGTTGCACATCCACATAATTAATTCTGCATTCCACACAGAAATGTCTCTGTGTCATGGCAACACTGCTCTGAAGGCAACAATGTAATGTAGCATGTAGAAAACAACAAATTATGTGTTTGAGTATTTTTTTTTTTTTTAAATAGGAATTATATATCTCCTATATTATTAGCAGGTAATAATCAATAGAATATTTGATTACTAAAATAATTACCAGCTGCATCTTCTACTTCTGCTTAGATTTAGGTTACATATTCACAAATAGTAATGTGTAAAGGGACCAGTACAGGATATCTTCTCCCCCTGAAAGAAGTTTTATCTGAATTTCCATTTGAGAAAATATTTATGTTCAGGAATTTAAGTTCAGGAAAAGGTGTCATATCCACAAATGGTAGGTGTAATAGAACATTGTTTTTTTGTTATTTTTCCCATTGTGTGTCCTGACTTTCATTTAAACTCAGAGCTATGAGAGCAGGGCCAGTGCCAGGGGACAGAAGAGGTCCATTTTATATCTGCCCATGTAAACCTGAAAAAAGGAAGTCTGCACAACAGCCCTTTCCATCGGCTGTTTACTTACAGTTGGCTGCTCAGATGAAAATGAACAGAGTGTGCCAAAGCCCATTGTCATATGTGTGCATTACAAGTAGTGAATGATGGGGCAACGTGCAGGCTATGCTACATTAGCATCCTATCACAGCTCATTGCCTTAGTGGCTTGCGCTGCCACAGCTTCATAAGAAAAGCATTACCCTAATGACAGACGGCACTGTTAGCAACACTAGAGCGACTGGCTTTGATCATTTAGGTGTGTGGGAGTGTGTGTTTGCGGGCTGAGGTTCTTAGAGCAAATATGATTAACACCAGGATTACACTGGGCAGTTAATGGAAGATGCAAGTGCAAAATATGTCAATTTTCATGGGACGTCATGTCTGTTGTCATGGCTATAGTATGACTGTGACATGTGGTTATATCAGCATAACTTTAATTTTAAGATTCTTAATTGATTGATACAGTTCATATAGATATGTTATGTTGCATTATGTTATTAAACAGTATCAGTATAAAACATCATAAATCTCTCATGTTGTGTGTTGATAAACTTCCTAACCGCTGTGTTCACCTACCGTACACATAAGGCATAATGTTAATGTCACCTTCATCACACAAACACAAGCTTAAAACAAAAGACCCATTCCCAGATGATATGCCTTATTAACCCTTGCTGCCGCAAACAAATTGGTTAATTTCAATTTGTGCTTGTGACAGACAGTGGTGGAAATGTAATGAAGAAAATATACAAACAAAAGACAGAGCGATGGAATCAATAGGCATGGAAATGAACACATGGATTTTCTTTTTTTTGTCAAGCTGCGGATCTCCACATTCACTGGATTAGCAAAGATGATATCAGCTCCCATCTGCTGTACTTAGTCTAATCTAGAAATGGGATGCTAAGGCATCCATAACTTACAATGTATGCAAGAACAAGAACAAAGGCATGTTTATCTTATAGGACTCTGGTGGAGCATAGGATTTCATCCACATAATCCCCCTGTTTACAGTTCGTAATTAGCATCCATCTGTCATTGATTTTCAAACAGAGGAAATTATATTGGACATCAACATGCGTAAGTGGCAGTAAAATGACACAAAGTAACAGAACGTGACAGATGCTTTGCAATTTTACTGCCAAATTAAATTGCCTTTTTTGGGGAAATAATCAGAGATGCCCTGAAGGTAGTTAAACTGAAATGTTTGCAGGGATTTGTGTGCATGACAGATTGTAACATGTATTTAATATGACACTTTGGTAGTCGTCTGTGACATAGAGTCTGGCACGAGGAAGAGGGAGGCTTACCCCGCTCGCTGCTTCTTTGACTTGTCGGATATGCCATCTCGGGACATAAGCTTGTTAAACACCACAATCCCAATGAGCATATTCACCTGAGGAAACACACAAAGTTCTGTTCAATCAGAAATGTCACAAACAGAAATGTTTTGTGAATTGTTGTGCATTCATTTTTCCTCAAAAGCATAAAAGTGCATAGAAACAATTCCATGTTTGATTTGCTTCAGCAGAATTCAACCATATCTCTGAAACCCCTTCCAACAAGAAAGACATTGAGTAAATGAAATGACTCATTCCAAGGTAGTTTTCTTTATACTTAAAGTGTACTTGTAATATTTTAGCTCTGCCTTTTTGGTTGCTAAGAGTATTAGTCAAGCAGTATTACACAAGGCAAAAGTGCACATCACATGGAAACAGAGTTAGAGCAGGCACACTCCATTTGTCAGAGACTCTGGTTAGTTCTTTTTGAAATTCCCATCCAAGCATTATCCATTTTATGGGAATAAAATACTCATAACTTACAGGATTTTCTTTTTCCAGGTGGATCATCAAAACTATGTCTTCCTAATCGTCAATCATTCTGATGTGTGTTGTAAGTTGTCGTTGTATGTGCTTGTCAAACAAGACCAGTGTTTTTGGGAGATTCATTTACATGATGGCGTGCGCTGAAAGCCCAGGTTGGGCTTCCCACTAATGTTTCAGTCGCAAAGTTTCTACTCATTCAATTTGTAGAAATTAATTTCAAAACATTTCCAGTTAAAGTTATCTACGTCTATATTGTGTGACATAGTGGAAAAAGTGCAAATCTTGAAAGTGAGCCTATATGAGTGATTCCGACATTTGCAGTTAGAGCGTTGCGCATTTTCTCCTAAAATTTGTGAAAGGCCTTCAATACAACTGTCAAATGCATCTAAAATGTGGACAAAGTGAAATATTGTTTTTGTCCGCAATGTTCTACCTTGTTCAACCTCTTGATAAGCAAGTCACCATGATTGCTTCCTGTTCTAATAGGGGCCTTGTAGTTAAGCCTGTCAAACATCTGGTCATGACCCAGTGATACAAATTTCTATTAGGACACGTGCAGACATCTCTGGCCCAGGCCCATTTCATCATCAAATCCTGTCCATCTGGGTGTTTTCCTGCAATGCTTCTCATAATCTCCCAACTTCCAATTTCCTCAAGCTGGCCGTGTCCTCCCCTAACCTTGCCTGGGTTATTTTTTCATTACCAGCTAATGACCTTTTGGGTTGCATTTGCATGTCTTTCATAGTGTTATCAATGCCCCAGAGTGTATGTCTGTCTCAATATTAAGCCTTATCTGTCAATAGGGACTTGCTGTTTTTACTTGAATGGGTTTTGGAATACAAGGTTGATGGAATTCTCTTGTAATTGGAATTTGACCTGTGATGGTCTAAGTTGAGAGCTGATGAGGCCTGAATGCAGTTATCTTTTATTTGACATTCAACATTAGTGTTTGCAGGGACAACAACATGGCTCTTGTGATGCTAGTCATGCCTTGTGAGTCAGCAGCAGCATCCTGTATGGCCATTTGCTCAAGGGCAGAGTCATTAATTACCAAAGGCTCTTGGCTATGGACTGCTCTCATTACAAAGGTGGGTTCAAGTCGTACCCCCAAAACGGCACAACAGGGGGGGGGGCAAAACCGTGGGGAAATTCAATTCATTCAATTTAGATATCATTACTGCCCCAAGGCACACACTACAAGATACATGTGGCCTATCAACTGAAAAAATGAATCCATATATTACACAGCTGGACAAACAACATGTGATTTTTCTTCACTATATCAAGCATTTTAGTCAAAAGCCAGACATACTTTACTGCAAAAAAACAAACAGTTGACCCCTTATTGAGCAAACCCTGTCAAATGTCCCTTACATAACAGTACATTTGAACACATTTTCAATACAAGAGTCCGTACGGGGTCGACCCTTCTGCCATCTCTGTGTGGAGCCTGGAAAAATACCCTCAACTATTGTGGTTGTCTTGTGCTTTGTGCCTTTCAGTCTGTGAAAGGCGCTATATATATAAATTTAACTTTTGACTTGAAAGTGCTGAATTTTGGATTATTATTATTATTATAATTATTCCAAATAGAGATATATTATTTTCCAAACTAACTTTTCTCATAAAACTTTGATTGTTTCTTTAGGTTATACATATGATTCTCCTATTGCTTTTAGTTAATGACAAAATACCTTATTATAGACCACATTCTATTAGCTACAGTATAATGTTCCATTGGGTTTGTTGCAATATAAAGAACTTATCTGAAGCCCTCATGTGTTGGTATGTGTGTGGATTTCCAAGAGATTAGCGAGAGCAGTTTACAGTTTAGTGCCCAATCCACACTTATTACGCTGTGTGCAGAAAAATCCACCCGGGATTCATTTAGGAGGAATTAGCTAATACTAGAAAGAGCCGCAGCAACAGGCGCAGCAGAGTAAAAGATTATCCTGCCTCTGAGATGCGATCAGTGCACTGTGTTGAGCTGTAAAACAATGTAGTGTGTGTGTTAAAAATATTGTATTGTTTTACACTGTTGTCTCGGATTGTATTCTGGTTTGATTTGGATCCTTCAATTTTATGTTGGCATACAAGACAACTTTTTAAAGCTACTAATGTTAAATTACATGTATTGCTCCAAGTTGATTTTATTAGATAATAAATATAAAATACAAAAGATAGGTGTGCGATTCAAGACCAAGTGAGCGTGTTTAAGTACAACTTTGGCAAAAATTTACCAGATGAACTAATGGTCAAAAATGATTTTATCCAAAACCTCGCCCAAATCTGTTAATCTGTGTTTAATATGTGTCCATGTTTGGCACTTTTTTTGCCTTGCATAATTTATTTCTGACATTTTCCGACTGGTGAGTACACACAAGAAAGCACATGTCAATGAAAAGCGTTACCATGGTGATCCACGATTCTGCACAATGTAATTAGTGTAGAAAACAGACTTACCAGCACTATAACAGCTGCCGGTCCAACAAAGGCATACAATAGACCACCTTCTAGTGACAGCCAGCAACTATAGGAAAGAAGCCATAAGAGAGAAATGGTCAAACTTAAATACTCAATATAATAACATAATGCAGTGTTTCCCAACCATTGTAGCCCTGTGTACCCCCTAGACAGGGCACGGGTGTCATCTACCCCGGGGGTCAAACTCATTCTAGTATGGAGTTTGATTGTTACCCCATACCAGTAAGTGTTTATGTTCATATTATGTATGTATGTAGGTATTTTCACCAAATTATTACTTTTATTTGACTTGAGAGTATGATTGTTCTACACTACATGAGTATATGCTTGGACTGAATCAAAATCTGGACCAAACATAAGAAAAGATTGTTACTGCAAACTGATAAACCAATTAACATATGCCATCGTAGCCCATAATATCCTCTTACCAATGTTAATGTTTGGAAAAAGATTTTAACTACCCCCTGTAACACCCCTGCATACACCTGGTTGGGAAACACTGGAGTAATGTACATATACTCTGAATACATATTACAGAGGTATTTTCAGGCATGCAAATGATGCCACTGAGCCTGTACAAACACATTATCCGCACCATCAAAAAATGCTCAGAACACAGTCTGTAGACATTTCATTTGGCGCTGATCACCGTAATGTCTTGAAAATCGTCCTGTATAGTGTCATCGCTGTACATGAAGCCATTCCCGTTACTTAATTGCAGCTAAATAAAACATGAAAAACACATTAGCCCAAAAGCCGAGAGCAATACTGTGCTTACTGAATAAATAAACCAAATGAAATACATGGCTAATGCCTACTAATGAGAGACAGAAGATTGAAACAAGCGAGGATAAAAGCTCATAACCTCATAAATTGCTTTTGATTTTCTTTGAACTCTTGTGAGAGGCCAAATCATTTCAATTATGCTATTTTTTGATATGCCGTCGTATAAATGATCAAAAACAAAAAAAAAAATATAAAATGCAATTAAAATCGAACCACATCAAACTGGTGTAGCCATCTGAAAATGTCCGTGAAAGTAAGGACACTTTTTTTCTTTTGCTTTAAATGGGCCATTATTTTTTCCAATGTTTTTAAACTCCGCAATTCTATGGATACAAGCAGATGACCAGGTCAAGTAAAAGTTAGGTCAGAACCATGGAGAGGTTTTTCCATCCCACAGTATGAACGCTTTTTTAGCACTAAAATTGATATTCTGTGGATTATTCTAAATCTCCATGAATGTCTATTCTATCGTGCCCCGGACATTAAATGTATCTTGACAGAAAATGTAATAGAAAAGAGATCTGTCATTGTGCTGGTCACTCTCATACAGTATGTATCGTCATGTCCAATTTTGTCCAGTGCTTTTGTGATGTATTTTGAGAGCTCCACTTTTCATTCACTGGACTTTTATACTCCACTTTAGGATGACAATGGAGCAGGTGCACTACTGCTGCATTTCTTCCTAATCACCTCCTCCACATTTCATCCTGTAGCAATATACTAATTACTATAGGCCTATTTTCACTGTGAATGCATAATGGTTCAAGAATCTGTAATTTGCTGTATATACTAATATGGTTCAATAAGAGTATGGGCATGTATCACAAAGGAAGCGAGAAATTATCTACCATTCATAAGAATCTCAAGAGAAAAGCAACCATTTGAACCATATTGAAGTTGGAGGTACTCACTAGCTGGCGGTTCCATAACCTCTGGCTCTGGTGAAACCCACAGAAACTGCTACAACTAGCGCTGGGAGACCTGCAAAGAGAAAAAAAATGAACAAACTAAAATCAATGATCATATAGCAATAATAATACTGATAATAATGTCGACATTGAAATATACAAAACACTTAAATCTTCTCCTGTGTTTCCAACTCTCAAGGTTTATCTGATAAATGCTAAGCGGCCATGCAATAGAGCGTAACCTGTACATAAGTGATTGAAAGTGGCCATGTGCTGTGAAGCTTCTCTTTGACACAAAGGGATAGCTGCAGGCAAAAAAGTGGGCTTCAGTACCCGCAGAGGCTACTCATTTTTAGCTCCTCTGTAGATACTTATGCTTGCATTCCCATCAGACATTGTGCTTTTTCAACAACGTGTGATAGAAGTGCACAGGCAGGCTGACCTTCATCCTGCATGTAGGTGTGTGAGATCTGTAGTGTATGCAATTATATCTGTATGTTAAACAAGTCAAGAAGCCATGCAATTAGCAGTATGTGAGTATATGTGTAAAGCAGCAGTGTAAAGTGTAATGCTTGTCACAGTTGAAGACGGAAAAAAGTAAGCTAAAAAGAGAGAAAGAAAGAAAATTAAACTCCCTGTAATGAGCTGGCATAGATGTATTTGTGTAATTAACAAAGTTGTGATTATGGCTCGAAATTAAACGCAATCGGAAAGTGTCATATACCAAATAGAAAATAAGAGCTCTCTCAATATAGGTACTTGGTGAACTATGTAATTACTTATGTAAGCATATAAAAGCATGCATATTACTTTTAATGCTTTAATTGAAAAGAAACAGACGCCTGCCTAATGAGATACCATGTTCCTCCTGTCCTTGTTGTAGGAATTATAAAAGACTGCTAATGTGGTCAAAATGTTGACAGACCACTTGCTCAATGTTTAATATGTCTAAGAGTCAGCTATTTTGGGATCCCTTTAATGTGAAGCTTCAATTTGAGACACATGATTTTTGTACGTCACTTCAATATGTTTTCCTGGTAGCAAACTAACAGCTGGACTTCATAACTTTGAAACTACAACATAACTATAATGCCATACTTATTTTCTAACTATACAGGTAATACATCCATGTTCTCACTATACTTTTCACATGCATATATTTTTGGCCTCTGTTAGATTGTCAGATAAAAATCATGAAAAAGAAGGCGCTGGCCCCACCTCATCAAATCCTCCTTGATTGCATTGTTCATATGGAAAAGGCTGAAGACACACGCACACCCACACACATGCACGCACACCCTATCATCCCATCTGCGTTCGTACAACAATCCATACATCCTTCCCTGGTGTATCAGCTAAGGGCATCAGATTCTTGTCAGATTAGACTTCCCAGATCGATATTCACTGAAATGAATAGATGCTTGTGTGTTGGGCATTTGCAGTTGGCACTATCTTAGGCCATCACGCCGCATGCTTACAGTGTTGGGCAGATGTTATCTCGTATTTTGATTATGCTGGAACATCGCGGGTGCTTGTTGCATCAGGTCATAGCAGACGGGGCAGAGAGCGAAATGTTCTCAAGGATGAATGGAGCTGTGATAGGGCCAATTGACATGGCCGTTTGCCAGTTTTCACCCCAACTGAGCTCCTTTTAATGAGCATTCTTTTATTTATTTATTTTGGCCTGAAAAAGTGTTTCATTTGAAGAAATTCACCTGAATGGGTTGCTAACTCAACATTTTGTCTCCACTTTGGTAGCAGAGACCATTACAGATATAACGTGTTTAAGCTTTAAAAGAGAGATTTCATTGCTGCTCAAACCTGAGCGTTGATATTACTGTATAGTTTAAGGACCAATTACACAGCAAAAATGAAAAAAATTTAAGTAACAATTGCTTGAATTAAGTTATTTTTAGCATGATTTGAGAACATTCTGACTACCTTAAAACAAGATTTTCCAATGGGACAAGCCATTTAGTCTTATTGCAAGAACTATTGCTTTATTTTCTCATTCCAACAAATACATTTCTCTTATCTTTTAAAAACAAGATCCTTTTTCTTTGTCCCATTGGCAAATCTTGTTTTAAGGCAGTCATAATGTGCTGAAGTTAAGAAATTTGAGACATTTTTAATTTATTATTCATCACTTTTTGAAATCTTGAGGTATTGTTTATTTTGACAACTCTGCCCAATGTGCCTATCATTCATTAAAAGTGTGAACATTGTTTATTCTTATCATGTATGGGTCATACACAGACATTAATCAATTTGACAACAAATAAAAGCAGCTTGTACCTTTGGACCAAGGACACGTGAATATGGGATCTTCATTTCAAAATGCAATTATATAATTATCATTCCTTAGAATGAAGTGACAAGACGTACTCTCATAAACAATCATCTGAGCTATACTGTATAAGAAGACAGTTGTGCGAAAAACAATGTGATATGCAAATGAGAACTGAACAAAATGGGTTATTAGATATTATGCAGCTAACCACTTTGACATCACAACATAACAGCGTTTTGCGTTTACATTTACCGCACTCTTTGCCAATTCCTGTCACACAACGCTGCCTCAATCAGGATACAATTCATGAAGCTTAATTTATTATGCAAGAATTCCTCCAGCTCTGGTTTACATCTACACAGTGTCAGCAAGTGACAAGTGACAGCTTGAATATGAGGATACAAATATGTATGTAAGCTTCGAGTTCTTACCCCATCCAAGACACAGGAACCTCTTGCGTATGAGACGTGACCTTATTTTGCCGATGACAGCCAGGTAGGACTGCCACGCCTCTGTCAGCACCCAGCAGAAGGACGCCAAGAAGAAGAAGTGCAGGAAGGCAGCCGTCACAGTACAAAGGCCCTACAGAAACAAATATAAAGTTAAACAAAATCTTGAAATCGGTTGCATTGCAGAGTCTCAGATGTGTGTATAGGGAAGGGAAGTGTGTGTACAGCAAGCCACAATACAACTATTTGATCTTACATTTTGAATGCCCAAATTATGAATGCAAACATGTTTCTCCTTTTAGGTGAAAAACTGAACAAACACATTGTCCTGTGCACTCTATACTAGGGATGTAAAAAACTATGAATTTTCATGACCGACCACCGAGTCTCATTAACCGGTTGAAACCGGTTAACCGCGTAGTTTAAAATATTCCACGTTCCTTGAAATAACAGCCATTTCAAGCCGCGTACTTCTCATAAGTGCAGCTATATGTTCTACTGGATCAGAGCCGAGACAGCGGCGCCAAAACCCGCAACAGCTTCGGCACCTTTGCGCACAGAGAACTGCTGGTTTAATCTTCCCATTCTGCTGTGCTGCGGGTTAAAGATTTATAGCAGTTAACGACGGCTCGTCCACATGGTCAGAGCAGCGAGTGACGCGTCTCGCAGGTCTCCGCTAAAGTTTAAATACAAGTGTTGTGTGTGGAGCTGAGGACAAGGACCATAAACACAAACATGGTCCATGTGGTTTGACCACAGCCCAGGATCCTTTGGGCTGTGGTTATGGAGGGGGGAAATGTGTGTGTGTTTGTGCGCGCGCTCGTGCGTGTGCTTGCGTGCATGTGTGGCATGAGAGTCGGCCCTGAGTTACTGATACATTGGCGCACACAGCTAGATACGGACCTGCTCGTCACATTGTGCAAATAGGGCTTATGATAGCGTTATTAAGAGACCTCCCCTCTCCCCCTTTTCTTTTTTTTTAACCGACAGCTTTGACCGGTTAACGTTGTGACGGTCAACCACCGGTTAAACGGTCACCGATTTACATCCCTACTCTATACAAAAAAACATATTCCTGTAGCCATTCCAGAGTTGTTATTTTGGTGTTTGGAGTATTATAATTTTAAGTTGTAAGTGTGTGTAAATGTGTATTATTTTTTGTTTATTTTACCTTAATAGCCTTACTCTAAGTTAGAGTAAGGCAATACAAACACCACAGTACAGCAATCATTTCTTTGCGGTGGTGTTATCTATTAATTTGTTGCATCTGAATTTCTCTTACGGAGGTCAAAAAAGTATATATCCATCTATATCTGATGACTGCCTCCTAAATCGACTATCCAAGAATAACCTCTGATTCGCTCATTCAGGACAGAAATAATACATTTTCACTTCTTTGTAATAAATATTAGAAACCATATTCCTGGAGTTGGTCTGCTCTTTCTGACCGAGGAAGACTCAGTTGAAGGTCAATCGGAAATCGGTCTTAACAGACATACACAATATCTTAGTAATTTTATCATTTTTCAAGATGCTCTGAATTGCCAAATATGCCCATTTTGTCATTTAAACTACAATTACCTTTTTGAGAACCCATTTCAGTATCCTTGAAACTCCATGCTGAATGTCCCTTACCTTACTCAGAGTCTGCGATTGTCCCACCAAAATCAATAAGTTGGAGGCCAGAATGGAGAGGCAAAAGTTCACCAAGATGATGGACCTCTCTGAGCGAATATACCTTGGAGAAGAGAAACACAATGATAGCTGTTGTACAAAGTATGACAAAATAACTATTGCCTGAGTCTATTATGGAAAATGCCTGGTCATTAGCTTGATTTTGCCTTCCCATCTGCTCTGTATGTCGCTGAAAAAAATAATTGTCACTCCCCTGCTGCATTTTGGACCGTTTGTTGAAATTAAACAACACAAGATTTTGCTACTAAACACTGGGTTGGCAGCACATGTGTAAAAATTCTCACCTCCAAAAGGCAGCGTAGATCAGCAGCAGGATAAACAGAGCGGTGCACGAGACGCCACAGCCCACCATCAAGGGGACGGAGGGCATGCTACTTGGACCCATATCCTGTAAGAAGAAATGAGAAAAAATTACTAATACAACATGGACCAAGTAGCGCAGATGTCATACCTTTATTTCCTTTGCATAATGCCACAGCAAACACCAACAATTAGAATATTGGACCATGAAATTATCTTTCTACAGAGCCACAACTTACAACTGATTTCAGATGTGCAGGTCAAAGCTCAGTGTTCAGTCAAAGTAGCCTCAGGTGTAGTACTTGTGTGTGCATGTCTCGTTTAAGTCAATAGTATCCATTAACTTTTTTTTTTTCCTCTAAAATTATATCTCTCTAATTGCGCACTACTCCCTCTCACTTAATTGGAATCTGAAGCGAAGACCAACTTGGATAATGATAGATAATTAAAGTTTGGAGACACAGTCCTGGCGTCTCACAAGAGCCCATTATTTAGCTATATACAAGGGCCGTAAGACGATAAGGCAAGACAAACAGTCAACATGGAACAAAGAATAGTGGTAAGAAGGCAAAACAGAAAAGCAGAGAACAAAAGCATGGGAGAGCAAAGCTGGAATACTGAGATAAATGGTGACATGTTTATTGAAAAATGCACAATGTCTGAATGGCTGTTTGGTGTATATGCAACCCTATAAATATGTATTGTTGCAGCCATGACCCATTGGCTCTCTGGATTTTGATTATAGGTGTTGGAAAATTCTCCTCAGTGACAGGGAAAGCAGAGAAGCTGGGTTGCCGTATCTTTAATTTATTGCAAGTTTCTTTTGTGTCCTGTTATGGTATTTGTGGGCCTGTATTGCATCTAACTTCTATGTTAAGCCGCTGTGTATTTAAATCTACTAGGTTCAGGGTCACTACAATAATTCCTCGTAGTACTTGATTGCATTTCAGTCCATGGTGATTATACTTTTACTTTCATTTGTATATTGTAAACATGTAGCAAAGGATTAGAACTGCTTTGTTATGATTGTGTTGTTTTTGGTAATTACAAAAAGATTAAACTCACTCAATGTGCATGACTAGAAGTTATTATTTCATCCATTCTTTGTAATATCCTGCCTAAATTGCATGATCAAATAATACAAAATTCAAAAAGAAGTATTCCGAAAACATATATTCTTCTACTCCCCAACAAGTTATTTGATAGATAGATTTTTTGGCCCGTTTTCCTAGTTTGTCCGGAATAATTTAAAGCAATTTATGGGAACAGCGGGGTGCAGACAAGTTACAGAGTGTACCCTCATTTCATTTTGGCGAAAAGAAAAATATGCCCAGTTCCAATACAATTTTATAATGCCAACGCTCTTGGTAAAATCCATGCCATTACTGTAGGTGAGGCACGTCAACATCCAAGCGTTTATATCTGCACATAATTGTGAATGCACAAGGGCAAAAAACGCCAGACTGTAGCACATAATTAAGTAATTTGGGTCACAGCGTACAGTGCACCTCTGCTTTGCAACCCTCCCCAGGGCTGTGGATGGCTCTGGACCAGACAAATGAAGCCACGTTAAGGGTCTGGCCCCCGCTGTGCCACAAATGGGCTTGATGTTTGGCCTTCTCTTAAGTTCTCAATCACCCAATTTAGCTCCATTTACCGCCTGCGGGGTCTAGATCTCCTTCCATTCCTCCGATTTATCACCAGGCACACTCATCCCTCAAGGTTCCTCATACGTGGGGAAATAACGTGCAGATAATGCTCGTGTGTGGAGATGTGATGTGATGGGCAATTCGAAGAAAATGTGCGGGCAAGGTAGAAAAACATGCAGCGGCGATAAGTGTACTGTAAGTAATGTCTGGCAGAAGAGAAGAATAAAATAACTTAATGGAGCTGAGGTGTCAAGAGGAGGATCACGCACATTATTAGTAAGGAGTAGGTAGAAGTATGTGATATAAGGTATAAGGAATATGGCGTTCTGCGAATATTGCATTGACCATGATACGAAGAATATATACAGTGTTTCAAGGATAGAAAGAATTATGTATAGAGTAGCTATGGTTTGCCCCAAGTACCTCCATGTCTGAGTATATATCTTACAAAGTACCACCACATCAAAACCCGGTTAAAACAAATGACTTTTGTGGAAATTGTTTGGTGCTAAAACATGTCCTAAAGGTACACAATGCAATAATTTGTTATAAAATCCAAGACTGAAGTCGCAAACTGTTTTCCACAATAAACGACATTGGGAAAGTCAAACGGGGGTTGGGAGCTAACTACAGGCTCTCATCCTGATGTGTAGTTGGTATGTTGTCATGGAAACTTGTGCTGCTGCTACAGTGTGCAGGAGTGTTGATGTTTGATATGTGACACGGGCTTATTCTAAAGCCCCTTTAAGTAGATTAATGTTTCATAGGAGTTCTATCTGAGGATAAACCCAAACGAGAGAAAACAATTATGTAAAAAAATGCAATAATGAATATATTAACGCACAGAATCACAGTTTGAAGAAACAATTATATAGACTATTTTCTGGATATTCACAAGACGATAATGCATTATGCTGTATCCTGCATTTTTAGGAGAATCAAACTTGCTTACAAACAAGCCAAAAGCAGAAAAACATCCATATTCAGCAAACGGAACAGTATGAGGGCTAAATTTGAAAGAAGCAATACAGTTTTACAAAAGCAAACTGTTAGAGCGGAAAGTAATATGAACTGGCATAACAAAAAAACAAGCAGAAGAAGAGAATATCCAAGGCTCAGTGGTTCCTTTCATTCAGCGTTCTCTTTGGCCCATCAAGCAAAACCATTTCCGCTGAGAATGTGGTAGAAAAACAGGAATGTCGACGTGACATTTGAGGTCAAAACAAAATCAAAAGCGTCTCATAAGGAAAGAGTGACCCTCCACAAGAGGGTGATGATCTCTGTGTGGTGAGAGAAACACTGTTTACTCTTTCAGGCCTGATCCGCCATAATGACAAAGAATTAATGTCTTTTGGGATTAAAAATACATAAATAAATTAAAATTGCCTGGACATCAATAAGCGTTTTTGGTCAAGGGTTATCACAAAAGACAAACATGGGGATTTATGGTTTTTCTTGCTTGAATGATAAACAAAAACTTGTATAAGAACACAATTCAGTGTTACAGTCACACAATACACTTTAGTGTCACATTGATTTCCCATGATTTTAGATTTTAGTAATAGGGTTAGACATGATCATTAACCCTCAGCCCAAAAATACATCATGTTTCAAAACATTGGATTTCTCCAGGAAGAATCTTCACTATGGCTGAAAAAATAAATCAAATTCATCAATCTCAATTATTTTTCCATCCATCCATCAATTTTCTTCTCCTTAATCCATTTCTGGGTTGGGGTGGTGGCAGTCAGAGCTGCACCCAGTTCACAGAGCACCAGCCCCTCACTGATCCTCCTGCAGGTGGTGAGTCCACAGGAACATGGATTATTCAGAAGGGGCTTCAGGCAAAGTGGGGTGAAGTGTCTTGCCCAAGGACACAACAACAGCAGTCATCAGTGGGAGTCGTGAAGTAAGGTCTTGTGGTGGGCTCGAACCACGACCTTCAAGCTCAAAGACCAATGCTCTACCAACTGAGCTACTGTCGCCCCAATCAATTAGTTTTCATTTATTTAAATTGTTATTACAATGTTAAAACACTTGTCCACAGGGTACACAAGTGGAGATTATGATGTTTGCAATCTTTTGATTGTTGGCACAGCTCTCCTTAGTAAAGTGCAACATGTAAGCCTTTCACATTGCAGTTGCACGTATGGTTTTGCAAATGAACTCTTCAACTAATAATCCAAACAAAACAATAATTTCCCTTCAGCAGTGAATTATCAAACACACAGTTTACGTTATAAATTATGAGCATTTCTTATGGAAGCGTAACATGAATAGTTAATATAAGGAAAACCCACAACTACAATCCCTCGTTTCTTAACAACATTCAAGTGTTGCACAAAGATACTGTATCGTGCCACACGTGAATAAGAATGGAAAGGAAGCGTGCTCTGCTCTCAAATCCTCTGACCATGGTCCCCTGGGCAGCCTGGATACCATGTGATGGAGAAGATAGCTATTTTCAGCTCGGGAAGTTTAACCTACTTATCAGCGCCCGCCAACACTCCTCCCCTCTCCCCCCACCCACCTATCCGCCTACCAATTTCTCAGTGGATCCCCACCCAGCGCTGTCGGCTCTCATTGTGTAGCGGGGGGTCTATGGCTCGGCTGGCTACCAGGATATGATGGGGATTTTCAGAAGTGATCTAAGTAATTATGGTGCCTTTAAAAGGATAGCAGCGGAGTGGTACGGCGGGCCTCGCAGCGTGCAGCGGAGTGCGTCTGAATGAAACGGGATAATGCGCTATTTATTCACATTTTTTCCGTGTTTGAGCCAATGAAGCGACAAAAATAAATCCTACTATGAATGACCTAACCTATTGAGATGTTTACAAGGAGGAAGAAAACAAGAATTGCGTAAATCTATAACTCAAGCATATAATAATAATAATAATAATGCATCGGTTTTATATAGCGCTTTTCTGGATACTCAAAGACGCTTCACATGTGTCATTATTCATTCACTCCATACACGGTGGTGATAAACTACTACAGTAGCCACAGCTGCCCTGGGGCACACTGACAGAAGCGAGGCAACCAGTATGTGCCATCGGCCCCTCCGACCACCACCAACCATTCACACACACACCAGACTCATTCTAGGCAATGGGGGTGAAGTGTCTTGCCTAAGGACACAACGGCAGTTTGGCACTTTACAGCCGCAGCCGCCCCACACGCAACCATACAGTAAATATTAGTGCTACAATACTATTTCAAATTAGACTTTGATACTAGAAACAATGCTGGATACTTCATTTGATACCATTGTGATTATTTATAAATGCTCTTTTTGGATAATAAGCTGTGATATTAAACTCAAAGTAATAATACCTTCTGATAAAGGGATTTTATGATTATTTTGATAATTCATTAGTTGGACAATCATTCTTTTGATTCAAATAAATTAGTTGTTTGGATCCAAAATAATTATTTATTA